CTATTCTCATATATACGACCATCCAGTCTTCTCACTGTCACTGACTGAAGACAAGACACTGTCACTGACTGAAGACGAGACACTGTCCCTTCCCCAAGTGGATGTTCTTGGCACCTTTGCTGAAATCCACTGACTGTAAATACATGGATTTACCTCTGGGCTCCCTACTCTGTTGCAGTGGTTCATGTGTCTACTTTTACACCAGAACCAGGCTGTTTTAACTACCATAGTTTTGAGGAATATTTTGTAGTCAGCAGTATGTTTCTGGCTTTGTTCTTTTTGCTCAAGATTGCTTTAGTTTCAACAGTTCATAACTGATAGAATCATGTATGATACCTACATAGGTACCTCAGCAGCTAAGGTCAAAAACTTCAGGGCCAGGGATTTAGCTCAGTGATGCTGCACCTGCCTCATAAGTGCAAGGTCCTGAGTTCAATCCCCAGTACCGGAAACAAAACAAAACAAAACAAAATTTGTCACAAGGGGGTCTGACCAAAAGAAAAGCCTTCTAATTAGGCCTGTGGTACATCCTACAAAATTCAGTCGATTCACCGACTGAATCTAAATTTCCTCTATAAAATACTCTATTTATCAACCCTTCATGTAATCAGATATAATAAATTTTCATAATAATTACAAGGCACAAAGTGTGTTATGGTTTGGGTCTAGATGTCCCCTCAAAGCCTCATGTGGTCAGAGGTGGCTGAATCTAGAGTGTGTGATGCTGGGATTAAGGGCATGTGATTACTAAACCAGTACCCTGATTGGTTTGGCACTGCCCTAATCCCAGTAGTCTGGTTAAGATAAAAGGGGCAGAAAGACACTGAAAGTCTCTTGTTGCTCTGCTACCTTTGGTATGTCATGGACTGCTGTCCCTCTGCCACCCTGCCTAGGAGCCAGCCAATTATGGACTGAAACCTCTATGAACTGTAAGCGAAATAAACCTTTCCACTTTTAACTCTGGGTGCCGGGTATTTTGTCTCAGCAATGAAAGAAAAGTAACTAAGACAGTCTGAATCTTAAAAAGTATTTCTTCTTACAAAAATATTAACATAAAGCTGGGTGTGGTGGCACATGCCTATATTCCAAGCACTCAGGAGGCTGGGCCATGAGCCTTGAGTTCAAGGCCAGCCTGGGCTACATAAGAGAGTTCAAGGCCAGCAGGAACCACATAGCGAGACCTGTCTCACAACAAAACAAAATAAAATAACAAAAGAAAAAAATTAATATAAATGATAGAACAGAGTGTAGAGTTAAACTTTAAATATCATGAATGTATATACATACATTTTATATGTGGATTGCGGACAGTTTTTCTTTCACATTTTCCTTATTTTTCAAACACAGTGTGCTAATTTTATTATATAAAAAGCCAAAAGAAGAATATGTTCAAAATGTCTTGTTAACAGTTTGTATTTAGCAGGTGTTAATGGAAATATTCAAGTGGAGATATTAATTCTTATCTCAATTTTAACACCTTTTGAACGCCTGGACAGGTAACAGTTCCACATATTACAAATTAATTCAACAATCAAACCTGTCAAATCAATAAACTATTGAAGCACTGTTGTGTGATAAAGAAAATATTTCTAATATCTCAAAACACAAAAAAGGTTCCTATGTGCTGTGGCTTATTTATTGTTTGATACGGAGAGTAAGGTGTTATTAGATTTTAAATTTTTAAAAACTAAATCATAATAGATCCATAATCTCTTTTAAACAGGTCATTCAGCTAAACAGACGAGAAATACCCACTTTATATAAGAAATTGAGTATCAATAACTAATTATAACCTTACATCATTAAACACCACAACTATTACTTGATCCAAACCCAGCAGTGTGGTACCTTCTTTTGTTTACTTTTAATACTGTAATATAACTTTAGAGATCTCATGAAATCAACAAGGTCACAGAGGTCATTAATACTTTGCATAATTCTACCTATATTTTGCCAGGTGTTAGAAATGAAGCAAGTTCCAGAAAAGAGCAATTAAACCCAGCGGGTAGTAAGTGCCCAATAAAAGAAAAGTATAAAAAATTCACAAACTGTAAGAGATTGCACATTTGACATCCCTATGAACCAACCAGTCATAATAAGCTCATTGTACTCTGATCATTCTCCACGCTGTCCACATCCATCAAATACATAAATGCTACAGCAGAGTGAGAGACTGTGCATACAAAAGTGGACCATGACTCAAAATCTTAAATTTTGCCAAAACAATCTCATTCATGCACGCAATTAGAAAAAGTATTTAATACTTTTTTTTTGGTACAAGGGATCGAACTTGGGACCTTGCACTTTTGAGGCAGGCAGCAGCACCACTGAGCTAAAGCCCTAGCCCAATACTTTTTTTTTTTTTTACAGTGCAGGGCCTTGTGCATGCTAGGAAAGTACTCTACTATCAAGCTGCACCTCTTTCTGTATGTCTTTGTTTTGCCAAACTAAGGATTGAACCCAGAGCCATGCTAGGAAAGAATCTAGCACTGAACTACATCAATGCATTTTTTTACTTTATGTTAAGCCAGTGTCTCATTAAGTTGTCCAGAAAGTATTGAACTTGTGACGCTCCTGCTTCAGCTTCCCAAGTAGCTGGCATTATAAGCATGCACCACCATCCCTACCCCAATCCTCTTTATTATTTTAAGTTTTCCACCCAAATGAGCCTTGTTTTCCACGGGGAGTCTGTCTGCCAAGTGTGTATGACTTGTATCAGAACTGCCCCAAAAGCTTCTTGCATCACCATCCCCAGCCAGACTGAGTTAGACAGGTTTGGATCCTCAGATGTTCAGTTTTCAAAGCAAGTAAACTAATTCTTATGTACACTAATGCGCGATACCTCAATTATAAGCAGTTTAGACTCTAAGTAGTTTGAGAATAAGAATCATACAATTTCTTCTGTAATTACCCAACACGCAGAAGCACCGCAGAGAATGCTCAGTAGCAAGTGGTTTTCAGAAATGCTCTAATGCCACTGATATGGAGAATGGAGATCATTATTCATCATCAAATGATTATTTTGGGACACAGAAATCCAGAATGTGAAAACCCAAAGGCACTGCTTCTCCACAACCTGAATGAGACATCAGTAAAGCTTCGCAAAGAATATGAGCGCAACCCGAGGAGGAGGGGTGTCATGCGGGAGGCAGTGTTAGTTCCTGAGTAGACACCATTTAGGTTCTCATGATTCTGCACAGATCCTCTCCTCTAACTTTTTTTTCTTTTTTTTTGCATTTTTGAGACAGGGTCTCTCGCTACATAGTTCAGGCTGGCCTTGAACTCACTATGTAGCCCAGGATGGCCTCAAACTTAGTGATCCTCCTACTTCAGCCTCCTGAGTGCTGGGATTACAGCATGTTGCTTTCAAAATATTTAGAGTAACACTGTAACAATGATGTCATTGACCTATGCTTTCTAAGTACCATCATACCTGACTCAGTTGTGAAATTTTAACCAGTCCCTTGCTTAATACAGCAAAATCAGGTTTACTTAATCTCTACTAATTAAAATTAAGCTTAGTTTTATAATCTGTAACAACTTGCCAGCCAACTAAGAGTACTAAAAAATACATAATTCAGAATGGTACCATTGTAAACCAATAACTTCTAGGTCTCAGGATAATAAAAAAGGGTAGAGAAAAGCAGTTATGGCAGATTGCTACTACAAATAAAAGGCACAGAGTAGACATAGGAAGTACACATTTTTTGGGGTACTGGGGCTCAAACTCAGGACCTTGAACTTGTGATGGCAGGCGGCGGCACCAGTGAGCTAAAATCCCTGGCCCCAGAAAGTACAATTTTACAGAGACATCCTTTTTTTTTTTTTGGTACTGCAGATCAAACTCAGGACCTTGTGTTTGCAAGGCAGGCGATGGCACCACTGAGTTAAATCCCTGGCCCAGGATGTACAATTTTAAACCAAACTGCACTTCTCTTATGTTTGACCATCAATTGATGAGAAATGATCTTTACTCAAAACAACAAATTAAGTAAACTAAAAGGTCATCCTTTTCCTTGACAAGGAAATTACAACACTGTAATGATACACACCACTCATGCTAGGATTTAGCTATAAAACAATGCTACAGGCGTCCAGTATAAAACAAAGTATGGGATGTCATCCATAGGACCTTGTGTTTTAAAAGTACTGAGACGTCTGGAAATGTGAGTAACTGCTATTCTCATCAGCATAATGATAATGAGTAGTTAAGTACTATTTTCAAGTTTTAATTTTACACATATTTTGACACTTGTTGCTTCTCACTGAAGTTTTTGAAGCCAGTATAAACTTAAACATGGCATATTATGAATGCATTTACATTAACAGGATATATATTTTCTTAGAACTCTTACTAGGCAAGCCTACTCTGTACTGATAATCAAAAATCAAGCGATAGGCTGCGGATTTAGCTCAGTGGCGCTGAGCCTGCCTCACAAGCACAAGGTCCTGAGCTCAATACCCAGTAAAAAAAAAAAATAATAATCAAGCTATAATCTCCTGCGTCTGAATCTACCTCAGCCATAATATTTTTTTAAGTCTATAAATTCTGATGTAACACCTAACTTACTTTTACATAAGACTGCATAGTCACAGCATCTATACAATCTTAATTGCAATTCCAAAGGAAGTAGAGGTTTAATTACGGTCCTACTGACTTTTCTTACAGAAGTACATTTTGGGTGAAACACATACAAATGGCCAGGTTACTATAAGAGATTTTTCTCCCTTGCAACAAGATCTTGCTACACAGCTCACAGCAACCCACCTGCCTTAGCCACCCAAGTGCTGGTATTACTGGCATGCATCACCACGCTGGGTAAGGTAACTGTTTTTGTTTCCACCAGGGTATCCTGAAAATTTTAGCCAAGTGTAGCCAGTGGGCTGACAGGAAAGAATTTGTGGTTCTCTGCCAATACAATGCCTCAGTGTATCCAGAAAATAGGGGTCACACACAACCTCCAAATCCAATCTGCGTGTTTAACCACACAGCTACTCACCCACGGTATACCAGCTAGCATCTGTCAACTTGCTGATAACGGCTTCCTGAAAGGACCCGTCAGGCGCTCTCGTTTCAACAATTGCTCCAACCTGAAATGCAAACCCCAAACATCCTCACCAATTTTAAACAAACTGAATCATTCTCACCAACTACAACTGGGTAAGAAAAACAATACCTAAGATATTTCTTCCCTACTCTGGCTTAGACCTTTATCATTTATAGTGCTCAGTTCTTCATTACATAACTTGAGCCACAAGGCACTTCGGCAAAATGGCATAAGTAAGGTACTTATTATTTTACAAATTGAAAATTGTGGCTCAGAAAAGTAAAATAATTTGCACAGGGTAAAATCCAGTCTCTTAAATTATACTGTCTTCAAGAAACTTAACCATAAGAACTGTAAAAACCTCTGAGTGTGGTGGTGCTATAATCCTAGCACTCAAGAGGCTCAGGCAAGAGGTTTGTTGAGTTCAAGGCTAGCCTGGGATATACAGCCAGACCCTGTCTAAGAAAAACAAAAAGCAGGGCCAGGGATTTAGCTCAGTGGTTCTGCTGCCTGCCTCGCAAGCTGAGGTCCCAAGTTTGATTCCCGGTACCAAAAAAAAAAGAAAAACAAAAAGCACAAAACCATAAGATGACCAAAACAGACTTCTTTTTCTTTTATAGAAATACTGAATACTGCATGTAGCATTTGTATTTAAGGAACCTTTTAGAAAAAGGTTCACCTGGAGACAGAGGTATGAAAGAGCTGACTTCCTTTCAGCTTTCAGATCTCTATATATCAGTTTTAACTGAAGGGGATCTCTGACACAACAAAGATTCAATACATGAAGAAATGGCCAGAAGTGGATGAAAAACATACCATATAAATTCATTAAAGTGAGCTATGAAATGAGCATCACTTACTTGGCAAATGAGAATAACAGGAGATTAAAGCTTATGGTACTGGTTATATAACTTAGCAGCTATCACCTAAGACAGGCCAACATGAAAACCAAAGATATTCAGCCCAAGAATTCAAAACTAAAAGCAAATGAAAACATTTAATTACATTAAACCACCCTGTTGTAAACTGATATTCTTAAACTAAAGATACAACTAAAGATACAATCATTGCAATATAATTTATACTAACTACACAAATACTGCACTTGTATTTTTACTTTAACATTCTGATAAAATTTTATGTACAAATATAAGTCAGTGAATTACAGTATGAGGCTATGACTCATTATTTTAGATTTCAAACTGTACAACCTAAGTATTATTCTTAGAATTTTGTTGTTGATGCTGTTTTCTGAGTCAGGGTCTCACTGTATAGTTCAGGCTGGCCTTGAACTCCCAGTGATCCTCTTGCCTCTACCTCCTCAGTGCTAGGATTACAGACGTGTGCCACTACACCCAGATAGAATTTTTTTATTGGTGTTTTTGTGACACACGGTAAATACATTCATCTGGGAGCTTTGCTACACATATACTTCTCATCTTAATCACCCTTCCCCAACTTTCCTCTCTTTCTTTCCCCAGATCCCATCCCATTTCTACAAAGTTCACCTCCCTGTTTCTTAACATGGCTCTTTCATATGTTTTGGGTCTCTCATATCAGAGAAACCGTGCAATATATAACCTTTAGTGACTGATTTATTTCACTTACTCTTAAAGGACCCTTGATTTGGTCATCTTGCACCAACTGGGTTGTATTATCCTGTTTCAGGAGTACCTGAAAAGCAGTTTTGCACAGTAAGTTGCATCTTGCATTTCAAATATTTACAGTAACACTGTAACAATGATGCCATTAACCTATGCTTTCTAAGTACCCTGTGGTTGCCTCTGCTGTAACAGTTATTACATGGCCTTGTTATTTGTATTTATTGTCTCTCATTAACTGTGCGTTCCTCAAGGGGCTGCAGCTCTCTCTTATTACCATATTCCCCAGCAGGTAGCAAATGTCAATGCAGGTTACAGGCATTTACTGAAGGAAGGAACTAAAGATTTATAATCTATAGTGATTACTGTGAAAGTTTAGAATTGCCTTTTGTGCATTTTATCAATAAGTTATATTAAAAGGTTCTGATTGTCACCAAGTATAAAAAAAAAAATCAAACTTTATAGCCAACTTGAAACCAGAGCTCTTCTGGCCCCTAAGACTGAAAAAAGATGAAAACTGGTTCAGGTACAAACCAGTGTGCTTTTCCAATCCTCCTCTCTCCTTTCACATCCTCCCAAATATACAAGGCAATTACCCAAATCAGTAAATTCAAATTTAGTAAGAAAAACAATCATCATACTGATTTTTGCGAATTCTTTTCTTTTTCGTACTTGGGATGAAACTCAGGTCTTTGCGCTTTCAAAACAGGCGGCGTAAACCAGAGCTAAATCCCCGGCCCTCATCGTACTGATTTTTTTAAAAATAAATGAGCCCCAAAAAAAAGAACAAAAAAAGAAAAGTTAAAATGGTCAGACACTCCAATAAACACTTAGTAACCAAATCTTATACAGTTTGTGTTGTCAAAAGGCTATGTAAGTACTTTATAGCTCTAACATGTTTGGATAAGCACAGGCTACTTTTTTTATTTTTTAAAAATAGGTTGCTTTTTAATCTAAGTAACAAAACTATTAAAATCCGTATTTACATAGAAAAAATTACTGGAAGGAAACAAAGACTGTTATCAGTATTTTTGAGAAATAAGCTTGGGTATAAATCCATTTGGACTTTTTTGTATTCTCAAATAGTGCACAGAAATGTATTAACTTTCACTTTCTTCAGGTCAGAAAAGCATCTTAAAAGTAATCTTGAATTATTTTTACTGCTGTCTTGAAAACATGGTTCCCAGTATATTGCTCTAACCTAATTACTGAAATTGCTGCTACCTGAACGTTATGTAAAGGCAGAAAAGAGATTATAACCTAAGTAAGTATTCTACCACAAACAGGAAGGGGCCAAATGAAGGAGTATCATGAACATGAAACTGTGATAGAAGCATTGTGGAAAAGTTTCTCATTTTGGTTCCTTTTCCATTCTTAGTGTACTTTTCCTTTAAGTTTAGATACATCAATGCTTTTCACACAGTACTGATTCATTTAAAAAAACGTTGACTTGCAGTCTCCCCCTACAGTTACTACAGCTCCAATCCTTTCAACCTGGTTAATAAAACTGTTATCTTAAAGAAAAAAATAAAATCGTATTTATTACCTTGACTTTCACCAGCCTCTTCACCGTCTTGATCTTTGCCTCGCAGAAGGCACCCCGGTACTTGGCACTGACGTCCGTGCCTACGGTCAGGTAGGCAGGCTCGTCAGCCGCCTGGGGAGAGGATGGCCACTGTGAACGTCCTGCAGCTTCTCCCTCCCAGCCTCAAGCAGCATAAAACTTTCCATATTAAGTCATTAGGACATTAACATTATCTGTGCATTAATATAAATCATAATTTGAGAAATGCCCGTCAAGCACTTTATTAACAAGGCTTCATGAATACACTGATTTCCTTATACCATAAAATATTTTTAAATTGTAACTGGAAATTATGAAAAAGAAAATACAGTATTTTTTCCAGATACAAAATGTTTTTAAAAACTCTACAATCTGTGTAAGAAATGGAAATAGAAAAATTATGTTCATATTGTTTCATAAAAGTACTCATTTATAGTATCCTGATAATTGTTTTTAAACTGAAAGATACTGCTATTAAAAACAATACTAGTCCTCACTTCGGAAGCTCACATACTTAAAAAAAAAAAAAAAAAAATACTAACAATGCATAATTGTTTGATATATCTCATCAAAATAACATTTTGCATACAGTTTATTTGTACAGATAACAAACTAAGTCAGCTGTTTTAGAAAATTTATTGGCTAAAAGCTGCAAATTCAGCTGATGAATGCAGGTACAAAAGCAGGGCTTGAGACTACAGCCATACAGCCAAAATAGCTTTACTAAGAAAAGGCTACTTTCAGCAAACAGCCATGATCAGAACAATACATTGAAAATTAGGAGAAATTTCTTTCTGCCATTCATTTTAATCTTACAGTAAAAAGGATGACTGCCATCTCAGGGTACCTATTTTTTTTTTGAGTTACGTGTACTAACAAGTGCAACTCAACATTACTACGTGCAAAAGTAACACCGTATACTTTTGCTATCCATTTTCAAGTACAAAACAATTGTTCATTTTCCAATATGCTTTCCCAAGATGTATTATTCCAAGAATAGGAAGGCAAGAGAAACTTGGGGAAAATGCTGTATTTTATTTATTTATTTATTTAATTTTTGGTACCGGGGATCGAACTTGGGACCTTGCCCTTGCGAGGCAGGCAGCGGAACCACTGAGCTAAATCCCTGACCCAAAATGTTGTATTTTAGAGCTTAATATTCTGAAACAAAAAATAAAAACAGGCCTTTGGCAAGTATCTGTCCAGAAACATTCAGTGGCCACACACTTCATAGTGCTATGAGAACTTCCTTTCCCTTCCTTTTAAACATTCAGAAGGTGAAGTTTCAGAAATCAGGAAGAATATAAAAATGTCTTGGATAAACGTATGTTTTAAAATACTGAAAAGACCAAATTTAAAGCTAAGTATTATTAGAGCTCAACTACTTAACTACTATAGCCATAGAAGTTTGCTTTGTCCCCAGTATCTCTTTTACTTAATCCACATATTCTCTAAGAAAACCGAATTGACAATGGGGAAGAAAAAAAATTCCAAAAAAAATCCCCCAAAGAATCACCAGCAGGACAAAAGCTTTACTTCTGCAAAGGTTGCTGCCAACACAGGAAGTGTTTTTAAAAAAATAGTAGCCTAATGGACAAGAACGAAAAGGCTGCCTCAGCCTTTCCAAAGTGCTCACTGCTACGGAGAGCTGAAGTGACTGAGCGGAGACAGGTTGGTTTTCCATTCACTTGCCCTCATTTTCTGAAAGCACTGCTTTCTACCGAAACCAATCCCAAGTAACAAAATGACAATCCACTCCAAGGCGCCGCCGGGCTCACGGCTGGCAGAGTCCGGGGCACGAGGCTCGGTGGAGTTGGACTCCACTTACCTTCATTTTCACGGGTGATCTGTGGGGCTCCAGCTCCACGAGTTCTCTTCTCAGTAGCTAGAACTGCAGAAGGGAGGAGAAAGAACAGTCAGTCAACAGCCGGGTGCGATCCGAGAAAGAAAGTAAACAAACGTCCGCGGGGAGGGACTGCAGCCTGGCCGCCCCGGGAGACCCGCTGGGGATAGCAGGGCGCCCCGATCGCCCGCCTCTAGCCCGGCCCAGCCCGCGCTCGCCCCCCGCGGCGGTGCTCCCGGTGTCACGGCGCCATTGCGCCCGCCCTCGCCCCTCACCGTGTCAACGGCGAGCAGCAGGGGCGGCGGCCTGCAGCCGGGGCGCGAGCTCGGGGATCCCGCGGGGCGGGGGCGGGGGCGGGGTGGGGGCGGGGTGGGGGCGGAGGCGACCGGAGCGGAGCGGAGCTCGGCGCAGCGGAGGGGAGGGAGTGGACGCTCCGGGCCGCCGCCTCCCGCCTCGCTCAACTTTTTGTGGAGCGCGGAGCGGCAACGGTGCAGCCTGGCCCGGGTCCCGTTGCGGACGGCGCTGCAGAGTTGGGCGCCGGATCCCCGCGCCGAGCAAACTTGGCGGCGCGGCCAGCCCACAGCCATCTTCCGGGCCGGGAGGCGCTAGGAGCGGCCGCCGCCGCGGCTCCCGTCCGCTCCTCCCCGCGCGCCCTGCAGCCCGCTACTCGCCTCCGAGCTTCAACTGCACCGGGACCCCGGGAAGAGCAGCTGCTACACCGCCTCGCCCATTCAGGACTGTCCGCCTGACCTCTCCCCTCCTACCGGCCGTGGGCCAGGTGCGCGCTGTCAGCCCTCGTGTCCTTCGCCCCTCGGGCCGCCGAGGGCCCCCGTCTTGGCAGCCCCGCTCCCGGCCGCGGCGACAGTTCCTGCACCGGGTTCCCCACTCGCCCCGATTTACTGCCACAATCCACCAAATAACAAGCTGTTGAGCAGACTCGCTTCTACACGAACTACCATTGGCTGATTGTGACGCCCAAAGGCTTCCGATTGGAGCTCACTCCCTGCCGTTCTCATTGGATGTGGCTCTCAAACTTCACGGATTGGTGCGAGAAACAGCCGATAGGACATCTCCCACTTGTGATTGGCTGTATCCGAAGAGTAACGTTATTGGAGAATCATGGATTGAGTAAGCAAATCTTGAGCTATCATTGGTGAAGACAACTCCGGATGTGCTCGACTGAGCACCGATTGGTGCACTGAAGGGTCAGGAAGAGCAGTCCGGCACGAGGATTGGCTTTGGAGTGTCCCATGGAGACGGAACCCAGAACCGCAGCCAGGGGTTTACACGGGGGCGGGGCAGGGTCTTTCCAAGGCGCCTGCGCTGAAGCAGCTTCTCGGCGCCATTTTGTCCCGGCAACGGTGGCCGCAGCTCTATCGTATTTTAAGTTTGTGGCGTGAAGGGAGCAGAGTCGACGTCCGATAGCTCTATCTTAGTGCGAAGCCATCCGCCGTTCACTCCAGTACAGCACCTCGTGACGTTCAGAGGAATCACAGAGCCGTCGAAAAGGTCAATTTCAGGCTGCGGTCGCCCGACTGACGGGGGGGATGGCGCAGCTCTAGCGGCTTTGGCACCGGAAGTGAGCGCGCCGCCGGCAGCCATGGTGAAAGAAAGTTTCCCGGCGGCGGGTGGGGACGCGGTGGGAGGAAAGGGGCGAGGCTTCCTCCGCGGCGGGCGGGAGGCTCGCGTCGTTCCCGTCTCGTGGGAAGCCGACACTTCCCCGCCCGAGCGGCGCCTGCTCTTTTGCTTCTGGAGACCTGGCGGGGCGGCGTCCCTTGCGCCGCAGCCTTCGCGCGGTTAGGCTCGGCGCCGTGCGCAGGAGGCTCCCGCCGCTCCCTGGGACCCGCGAGCAGCGGTTCTACAAAGGCCGGGAGCATTTCCGGAGAGAACTCTTCCCGGACTGGACGGACGTGGACCCTGTGCTGTTTGCTGGCTTCCCTGGTTTTATGAGACAAAAACTCGCGTATTGTAAAGTGTTCTTGGTTATTCACTGGAAAGTTAGTTAAGAGTCAAGTAATTGAGACATCAAATGTCGTTGACAGTGCCCACTGACGATGTTTGCCCATCAAGAAGTTATCCTTGACTAAAGCTGAGGGGTTTTTTATTCATTCTTGAAGTAATTTCGAACGTGAAAGGTACGTTGGCATTTGTAGTAAATAGTCACATATGGATAGATGCTTAAAATTTTCTTCAGTACCTTTGTTTTAAGTCCTGATGCTGAATTTGCATAGGGCTCAAAAATAGCGTGATTTAGCAATTTGTGTTTTGTTTTGGCAGTTGTACTGAAGAAAGAAAGGACATCTCAGTGACAGTACTCCAAGGAGGTGAGTCTTAATGTCTCTTAAGAATCTGAGAACTACCACGAAGTTACCAGTAAATACTAGAGTAGAAGGATGGTATTTGAAAGATGTTTTGGTTGGTCAGGGTTCAGATGAATCTATTTAATTAGCTTTCTGATGTGATTTTTTTTTTTTTTTAGCATGCAATTCGGAAATTGGAACGTCCTTGTGGAGTACCTTGGTAGTATTTAGGTTTTTCCCGTGCCTTACAAAAATGATAATTTTAAAAATTATTCAGGAATAGCAAAGAAACTACTTCTAGCTTTAGAATGTGTAGATACGGCCTAGGAATTTTGTGAGGAAGGGTGGTTTAGGACACATTTTTCATCCTTTCTGCCTTGTCTGCAAAATGGCACTAATGGATTTCACCTGACAAGGTTGGAATTTGTTACATGAGTTGTTATATGTAAAGTGCTTAGACTGATGTCAAGTATTTAGGAAGCACTTGGGTATTAAATGGTATTATTATGCGTGTGTTATTACCTGAGAGTCATTTCAGGAAATTTAAATCATTATATTGCATTTATATACAGAGCTGTGGCAGAAGCACCTAGATCTTGCTCCCTGAAGGTCATACCAACTTTTCCCAACTCTTTTTTTTCCTAGTTCTTCCCTTCAAGTATCAGATACTATAATCGCTCTCAACTCTGATTGTTCCCTGGGACAAACCTCATGTTTTCTGTTTTGTTTTTGTTCGTACTGTCCTAGCCTTCCCGAATGGCGTTTTATCTCTATATGTTCAAATGCTACCTTTTAAGTAAAGCTTTCTTGAAAGCTTCATAAAGGTGTAAGTACAGCTAATTTCTTCATATTTCCTCCTGCATAATTCCCACCACTTTCTGTGTTCCATTTGAGATTTTTGTTAGCTTTTATGTCCTTCGGTTTAAGAAACCATTCCAGAGAACTGTACCTTGTTCACTTTTGTAAGTTTAGAACATATCACAGGCTTTGGCACTTAGTGGCACTCATTTATGAAATCGAAGTTTATAAAAGGTATAGTCAGCTAAGAGAGAGCGTTTAATGGACAGTGTGGCAGTTCAGTTGTGCTTTGTTGGTGTTTTTACATCCAAGAACACTTCTGTTGGCTACTCAAAATGAGAACACTTGAGGTTTTAGGAGTTGGATCGAGTTGAAGAGCATGTAAGTGATAGAGCACTGGGAGGACTATCCCATAGGTTACGAATTTTTGTTAGAATGTGTTCTTGTATTTAATAGGTAATGTTTTTAACCACCAGAGAGATTGTTTTTCTTATGTACTTGATTTTTCACAGATCTTCCTTCTCATTAGAATATATAGGCCACTTAGCTCAATATATTGGACTCAGAATCTCACTCTCCATGTATATTTTTTAAATCATAGTATCAAAATGCCTCTAAGCGTAAAACTAGGCCAGAGGATAGGAACTGGGTAAGATACTGTGTGAGGACATTTTTTTGATCCTTGGTTGCTATGGTACTGATCAGGGCTTGTCCTTAAGATTTAGAAGAAATGGGAATGATGGGAACTGCAGTTAAAACGGAGTCCCTGAACTCCAGGCCATGTGCTGGTACCAATCTGGGTCTAAGACCCATTAGGAACCAGGCTGCACAGCAGAAGATGAACAGGCAGACAAGCCTCCTGGGTTTGTTTTTGTACTGGGGATCAAACTCAGGACCTTGCGCTTTTGAGGCAGGTGTGGTGCCGCTGAGCTAAATCCCTGGCCCTCCTTGTCTGTATTTGCCACTATTCCTCGCGGCTTGCTTTACAGACTGAGCTCCGCCTCTTTACAGATCAGCTGTGGTACTGGATTCCCACAAGAGTGGAAACCCTACTGTGAATTGCACATTTGAGAGATCTGGGTTGCACGTTCCATTATAACACTCTGAAGTAATAGTAGAAGTCAAGTGCACAATATAATAATAGAAATACAGTAAAGTGCACAGTAAATGTAATGTGCTGAAATCATCCCCAAACCATATCCGAGGAAATATTTTCTTCCTCAAGACTGATCCTGGTGCTAAAAGAGAATAGGCACCACTGAATTAAAATCTAGGTTCATAGTAGGCATTCATGGAGCTAAAGAGGCAGTTATGTACTCCTAGCTGAAAATTTTTCAGAATTTTTACAGTAACTCAGCAGGACTTTGGATTGAATAAGCATCCTAATATAGAAGCACTAGATTTAAAAACCAGATGTGTGTCTTCTAATCATAACTCTTACTGGCTGTGACCCAGGATACATCATTGTGTGAATTTTTGCTTTCACAGAATGAGTTTTATAGGGCTAAGGTATTTACAAATCTTAATATTATAAGATTATAATCTTATATAACAATAATCCCATCCAATTCCTGTTTTTACTTCTCATGTTTATCTGTCCCTATAAGTCTGTTACTTAACTCTTAAAAATGAAAATATTCAGAGGGATTTAGCACTTGCCTCAAAAGTGCAAGGCCCTGAGTGGAGGGGGGTTCAGACACTGAGTTGAAGATTTTAGGACTTAAGGAAGTTGTTGATGTTCATATTGCTTAGGATCAAGTTCTATCAAGTTCTGATGTTCTGTCTATTTACTGTTTTCATGTACCAAGGGTTTTTTGTGGTGCTGGGATGGAAACCAGGGCCTTGCAGATGATAGGCAAGTGCTCTACCACTGAGCTACATCCCCAGCCCCTATTTATCAATAGTTCTATTGTTACTTAGCTTTTTTAGATACCAGCTGAGCAAGATTACTGGTTGTGAAGCGTCTGTCGTATATACTGTTTAGTTGCTTCAGTATATTCTCCTGTAATTGATTTTTTAGAAAACTCTAGTGTGATACACAAAATTGTTTCCTGACATCTTATGGATCTCAGCTTGCTTTTGGGGGGAAGCAGTGGAAGAACTAAATAATTCTTCACATCTGTTTGCTACTTTTGTGTTTACTAGGCACTTTGATACAGTGCTGTATCCTTAAGTGTTGATACAAATTCATTAGTACATGAACACAGGGCTCTGAATTGTTTCCACAGGTTTGGAAGGGAAGTTAAAGTAGTCATGAGAGAGGGATTTGTTTTTATTTTTTGTTTTATTGTTTTTTGGTCAGTTTTTGGCATGTGTGTTTGATAATATGTACTGAGTCTGCCAGTTCTAACATCCCACTTAGAGGTTTATATATATTTGTATTTAGGGTTACCTCAAATCCTACAGCAAGCAAAAGTGTTTATATAATTCTCATGGCTTAGATCTTGGTCCCTGGGGAAAGGGATTTTATATGAAGGAGCTTAACAAAATGAAAAGCCATCTTCCTGTTTCTTTTGTGTATTGTGTGATACTGCCTTTAAGGTCTTAAAATCGCCCAGACTTTGGTAAACCAAGGCAAACTTCTGTTGTTTTCCTCCTGTTTTTGAAGTTCTGCATTTTGTTACTTAGTCATGAACAAGTGGTCTTTTCCCAGTAAATACCAACTTATACCACAAAACCAGCTTTTCTGTGCTGCTGTGAACTTCCTGTTTTGTCACATTTCCATTTAGGGGAAAGAGTGGATTTTAGAGTAGGCTAACTTTAATTTCATGCTTAAAGATTCTTCTGAAATTCACTTTGGAAGCTCTCCAGATGTCTAAAGGGAGAGGGAGGAAAATGACATGCCATGTCTCCATAAAGTCGTTTGTCAGAAAGCTTCATTTGGCTCTGTGTCAGGGTTGCTAGGAAGGAAGAGAAACTTTCTGCTGTCAGAAATTTTAAGTCTATGACTTTCCAACATTGTAACTTGCCTTTAGGGTTCCCATGGTAAATATGGTTGAGTTTGTGAATGAACTGTATTCTAGCCTTTGAAGACAGGATGTGTTCACTTCTAGTTAGTAGATTTTTCTTAAGGAAATTTGTGAGGACTGTATTCAGCTGCATTGGTTCATTTACAGTAGACAGGCCAAAGTTCATATGTTAATTAGAATAGAAATTGGCTACAGTCTCAATGTGGGCCATCTTCTGCATGAAAGTTGGGGTGAAGCCATTTTAAGAACCTTTTGCAATCAAAGTTGTGAGTAAATAGAACATTTAGTTATAAATGATGAATTGTCACATTTTACAAAGTGAATTCTTAATTATGTGTTAATGGAATGTGTAGGTAGAACATGCTTTCACGGTAAACCTGAATCATACTAACATTGCTTCTGAGGGAACCTTGGGATACCATTTTTTTCGGTGGTAGAACCAAGCTCTTCCATAATTTTTTTTTTAAACCAAAGTGACCTTGGGCTGCTTTTAGTCAGAGCTATTTCTCCCTTTCTTGACATATCAGTCAAATAAGAAAGATAATTGTTTTATTACAAGTTTCTTCTTCATTAGCGCCCTGGCCCAGTCCACCTTTATGTTGGAAAAGTTCTCCTCTAACACTTGGGTTGCCGTATTTGGAGATCTGATGTTGCATTGTAAATATGTGAATCTACTGTAAGTTTACCAGATACTTCTTTTTTTCCATCTACTAATGTGTTATTTCTGAAACACATACAGTATTTCTCATATGAAAATGAAAAAAGCTTTTCCTAAATACCCATCGTCCTCTACTGACTTATCCTGTTTTGCTTTATACGAGAAGTATCATCACTTAAACCTTAAGTTTACCTTTCTTTTTCTTTTTTTTTTTTTCGGTACTGGGGATTGAACTTGGGTCCTTGCGCTTGCGCAGCAGGTGGCGAAACCACTGAGCTAAATCCCTGGCCCAAGTTTACCTTTCTGTTGCCTTTCATTTATTTTTTTTTCCTGAGACTAGGCCCTCATTGTAGTTCAGGCTGGCTTTGCACCTGGGGCAGTTCTCCTGCCTCAGTCTCCCATACCCAGCCCTGTTCTCCTTACCAAACGGGCACCACTCCAGACCTAGTAAATTCAAATCTCTGGAGAATTCATATGCTGGTGTTTGAACCAGTTTCATTAACATTGATTGCATACATTCCCAATATCATCTAAATTCTAGTCTTTTATTTTGAGAAAGGGTCTTCTGTGTAGCACAGGCTGGCCTTGAACTCACCTTCAGCCTTGTGAGTGTTGGGATTGCAGGTGTGCACCACCACACCCAGCTTGTTCATGCTGTTGTTTATTATTGGTATGTCAGACCTTTTTTCCTACTAATTATTGACAGGATTGATATGGATTATAAAATGGTGTCTGCTTTTGTTGCCAGTGCAAGAATTGTTTTAATGTTTTAAATAATCTTGGTAATGTGACACATTACAGGCATCCAAATGTTTTCTTTGCATTTTTACTGTCACTAGATTACTGCTGACTTTCAAACCTATCAAAGATATGTTAGCATCTGTATACCTCTAATTTTTATATAACATGTCTCTAACTCTCATTTGTATTTCCTTAGTGCTCTTAATCATACTCCCATATTACATTGCACTTTGAATCCTGTTGAGTTTTCCCTAGGAGGGGAAAAATAGTGCAAATCACACATTTTGAAGACAAATTCAACATGTGTAAGTAAGGAACAACAAACAGTCTATATATAAATCATATTACACTTGCATTCACTTTAAGAGATGTTAATGTATCGCTGGAAGGATACACGTACAGTGATTACATCTTGAATTGGTGGGGTGGTCAAGAAGAAACCTCGTATCATTGAGTTCAAGTATACAGTACATTATATAACAATGGATAAAATCTCTAGAAACTCTGAAAATATTTTGGGTTATGGAAATACGGGTGGCTCTAATCTTTGTGCTCTTGTTACTGTTTTTAACTTGCCCTAATTGGGGTATAAACGTAGTATTTTCCAAGTATATATAAGGCTTCTGAAATTATTCTGTAATCTAAAGGGCAAGATTCATTGTGGCAGAACCCCCTTGCTAGGCTTAGAGTGGGCTGCAGTATAGAGCAGGCATTTCCCCCCCATAATTGGCCACAATATACTTGGAGCCAGACCAAAGCCTACAAGTCTCACTGGAGCATGTTGTATAGTGTGGAGGCTAGTACAGCTTACCCACCAGTGGCTACCTCGGAGATCTAAGCCCTGGTGTGTGAAGCTGCAGGGCTCCTAAATGAGATAACATCCCAGCTGAGGACCTTACCCGGTGGCTCCAAACCACATTCCATCCTAGAGCTGCCCCTTCTTTGTAGCTTACTAGTTAACCATGGCCTACCTTTGGTCTGTTCTGCTCTTTTCATAAGAATGCCGTATCCCCCTTTTACAAGCCTTGTCTTTGTCAGCTGGTATCACCAGATGCCATGCATATCCCCCTACCCTATTCTTACCCATGCTTGTGTAATCAGTAAATACAAACGGTCCTGGTTGCTTGGGGTCTTTGCCATGTGCTTGATGTGGTCCATCCCAGTTCCCTGCTATTTAAGTCTTGTTTCCTTGTCTTTTCTCCTTGCATCATGTTGCCACACAGAAGATCAAGACTCTCCACCAGGGCTTTTGTTAATTCATATTCTCTATTTCCTGTGTCCTGTCAGTAGTTCTCATAGGTAGTTAATGGTTCTCATGGGCATTGATATTGAACAAAAAATGGATAAATTTTTGAATTAAAATTGAAACCCCTCTCAAAAAAACCAAATGCCCCTTTACCCAAACTGTAAAATAAGATAATGTTCTAATGTAAACAGTGGGTTTACCCAGTGGCCTTAGAGCCTTGTAACAGAAAGGATCCCAGCTGGCATGTTAGTGTGCTCAATGCTCAACTGAATTAAAAGGGCAGTGCCATGTATTTCAGTATTTTCTATACAGCAGGCATTTTTTAAAAGTATGGTTTATTGCAATACAAATATAGGAAAATTCTCCTTTATGTACATTCCCATGAATTTTGACTTACACATTTTTATGATGAAATCATACCAATATATGACATTTCCATCATGGCAAAAAATTGCCTTTGGGGTCGGGGGTTTAGCTCAGTGGTTCCGCCACCTGCCTTGCAAGCACAAGGACCTGAGTGTGATCCCCAGTCCCCACCCCCAAAATTACCTTGTGCTTAATTTCTTCTTCCTACCCTCAAGAATCACTGCTGTATTTTCTGATCCTATAGTTTTCCAGTTCCAAGATGTCCCATGTTGGATTCATGCAAGATGTATGGATTATACAGCCTAAGCTTTCATCTCATTTAGATGAATAATAACTGCCAGGCTGCTTTCCAGGGCAGCTGTGCTGCTTCACTTTGCACACGCAGTGATGTACTACCACTGGTGATCCTCATCCTCAACAGTGCTTGGTGGGGTCAGTCTCTAGCATTGTACACTTTCTAAAGATGAGTGGCATCTCACTGTAAGTTTAATTTGCATTTCCCTAACAAATAGTGATGAGTATCTTTTCACACACGTTTGCCATCTGTGTAACTTCTTTAGTGAATTGTCTGGCTCAGCTATTGCCCATTTTTTAAAACTGGGCTGTTTCATACTCTTTAATATTGAAATTCCTCTATATATCTTGGTCACAAGACCTTTGTCAGAGGTGATTTGCAAGTATTTTCCTTCAGTTCTCCTTGTTATTTTTTTTTTGGTACCAGGGATCGAACTTGGGACCTTGCGCTTGCGAGGCAGGCGCTTGAACCACTGAGCTAAATCCTCAGGCCCACCTTGTTATTCTCTTAATGTTCTTAGAAGAGCAGAAGCTTTTAATTTTGGTGAAATCGTGTCCATTTTTTATAAGTTGTTTTGTATTTTGAGTTATATATTGGTTTCTAATTACTTTTGAATTAATTTTTGTAATGTATAAGGATAGAGTTGGAGAGTTTTATTTTTCTCCTGCATATATCTAAATATTCCACCGCCATTACTTTCACATTTTCCTGGGCTAATGTTAAGTAATGAAATTGTTTCATGCTACAGAACATTAAAACTAAAGAAATAAGGATAAAAACAGTTACATCCTCAATTCATAACTGAGTGCTGAAATATTGTTTCCTTGTCAAAATATCACTAGCACCAGGTTTGACAAGTTACCAAGCTGACGAATACTGAAGTATGACTTGTTTGTTAAGTTTTTGGAGGACTGAGAGGTAAGCTTAATGGTTCCGTCCTTGCCTAGCATCCTCATGGTGTTGAGTTTCATCCAGCGTGGCAAAAAATAAAATAAATTTAAAAATCCCCATTTTTCTAGCATACACTGTATAGAAGGTCTTGGTAACAGATAGTATTTGGAGTTTTCTAATTCTGCTTTTCCAATATAAATTTTAGAAGCAGGCCATTGGTTGTCACCTCCCATTAATAGAAGCCACTTGGGAAACTGATTAGGTTTCTACTGAATCTATAAATTACGTTGAGGAAACTTGGCCTCCCAAGCCTCAGTCATCTGATTACTTTAGTTGTTTTCACCCATTCAGTAATTAGCAATGTAAAGTTTTTAAAGGGTGGGGGAATGGGGATTTAGCTCGGTGGTGCCATGCCAGCCGAGGTCCTGCGTTCGGAGGTCCTGCGTTCGGAGGTCCTGCGTTCGGAGGTCCTGCGTTCGATCACTGGTACTGAGAAGAAAAAAAAGGGGGTTTGGGGATGTACCTTAGGGACAAGGTCCTGGGTTCAGTCTTCAATGCCTGAATTTCCACTTATGTTGCCATTTTTAAATAAGTGAAGAAATGAGGTGATGGGTATGAGGTCACACAGTGTCAAAGATAGATGAAACCTCCAGCAATTAATACCCTGGCTTTATTGCTAGTTTTCTTAAACTGTTATGGTTATAGTGGGGTAAGCCTTAGGTACTTTTAGCAAGAAGAATCTCCTTCCCTAAAATAGTTGATGCCTTCGTTTTATACAGTAGTACCTCAGGACTTGTTCATTGGTTCCAGTACAAAAAATAAATATGAAATGAACTCTTCAGGCTGGAAGGTGCTACAAGTTACTAGGCAGTCAGTCAATGCCAAGTAAGTTGGAGCTTGCTCAGTGAACACCAGACATGAATACCAGGACAAAGTGCGTAACGTAGCAAATTTGACAAGTTTCAAAGCAGTCAAATTACCAAGATTATCATTATATTTTCTGAGCTTCAGTTTTCCAGATCTATTTAGATGATAAAAATCACAGTCCTTTTAATGTTGAAATCTTCAGCCAGGTGTAGTGATGTATTGCCTATAATCCCATCACTCAGGAGGCTGAGGCAGGACAGCCACAAGTTTCAACTCACCCTGGGCTACACAGTGAGTTCAAGGCCAGCAGGAACTACCCTATCTCAAGAACCCAAAAAATAAAAATAATAGACTCAGATCAGTACATTTCTGAAGCAGTGTCCTTGTGATAGTATACTTTTCTCTGTAGTTAATATGAATTATAATAGAAATACATATTAAAGTCTCATTGGTTATAGGCAACTACAGTCTTATTTCACATTCTGGAATTTGTTCAAAGGAAGAGATTGACATCTTAAGTTGGAAACATGTAAAGGGCTTTTGGTGGGGAGAAATGTGACAACTGTTTAGAGAGCTTTGACAGGTTGGCGAGAGACCGTAGGAAAAACCCATTAAATACCCCACTAAGGTGTGGTCAGTGGCACAATGGATAACACATCTGACTACAGGTCAGAAATAACCCACTAATATACTATTGTCAACCACCTGGTCTTTTAATTATTTGTCCCAGTAAACTAATAGTTTGTGAAGCATTTGTTTCTCAGATTAAGACATAGGTTATCTTTTTTTTTTTTTTTTTTTAAGTAGATTGTCTAGAATAGGCATCCTCGTTTATGTTTATTCAGAACCTGCCTCACTGTCATGTGCACTACAAGTTGCAATTTGGAAACTTTACTGTATTGAAATCTTGACAGTTCATAGTTGTTGAAAACTGATGTTCTTTCCCAAACACTGGTTACTGCAGTAGCCTTTTTAATATGTAAAAGGAGGAAAAAAGCCCCTAAGGCCAAAGGTAGTTTTTTCAAAAAGTCATTGTACAGAGCTGGGGATTTAGCTCAGTGGTTTCATTGCCTGCTGTGCAAGCGCAAGGACCCAAGTTCGATCCCCAGTACCAAAAAAAAAAGAGGTCATTGTACAAATCCTTCTGTTAAATTAAAACTAAGCTTTGCTGTTTTCTCTTCAAAATGTGATGGTACAAGAAAGGTGTTAAATGAAGGGGTAGTATTACAGGGGAGCATTTTCAATTGCAAAGGTTAAAAAGTTATATTTATAATTTTGATGTTTTATTTTTATAGGGAAGATTTTTCTCCCCTACAATTGGAAATCATTTTGCCATTCAAGAAACAATTTTAGGGGAGAAAAATCTTTTTAAAAACCCACAAAGAAATAGCCTAGGCCTGTCGATAAGTGGATTTAATAGATTACTGCAGAAAAGTTAAATGTAGGTCAGATCTGGATTCCATTTCCAAAAGTAAGAAATTTAATAGACAAACCAGCCCATGCCTGCAGTATCCTAGCAACTCTTGAGAGGCTGAGGCAGGAGGATCATAAATTGGAGCCCAGCCTGAGCTGCTTAGCAAGACCCTCTCAAAAAAAAAAAACAAAACGGCTGGGGATGTAGCTCTGTGCAAAACGCTCTGGATTCAGTGCCCAGTATTGGGGGGGGGGGGAGCAAGAAAAACACAAAAAAAGAGAGAAATGATATTAAGAGATAGTGTTGTACGCAAACATTTTCATTTCATTTGGGGGTTGCTTATCAGCATAAAATGACAAATTTATAATCTTTTTCTTTTTGTTTTTGTTTTTTTGGTACCAGGGATCAGACTCGGGACCTTGTGCTTCCGAAGCAGGTGGCAGAACCACTGAGCTAAATCCCTGGGCCCCAAATTTATAATCTTAATTTGCTGCTTGTTATATGAAGATTCTAATGTTTCAGTTAAACAGATTGATGATCTATGACTTTTTATTTTTTAGATGCATTTGTGATAGAAATACAAGCAAATGGATGACAGTCTTATGAGATAAGTGCTTTTGTACTCCAGAATTCATTTTGTTATATGGAAGAGCCAAAACAGAACTTTGTTCTTTAAAACTTTTTTTTTTTTTTTCTTTTTAGGTACCAGGATCAAGATGACTTGTACAGCAAAAAGGTAATCTTAATCTTATAATAAATTTTATATTCATGCCAAAGTATAACCGTTAACCTGAAGCTAGATTAATCTTGTGTATACATTAATCTTTAGTACATATGAAAATCATTTTTTCTAATAGCTATATGGAGCTAGTTATTGCTTAGTTTTACATTTATCAGGTATTACGGCATCTACAGTAGCTATAATTGGCTTAGCTGCTCAAAATTAGGTTTTAGGACAGCCATATGGAATCTTTTTATACTTCATCATATTTAAGTGATTTTTTTCCCTTTTTTTTGGTATTGGGGATTGAACTCAGGACCTTGGACTTGTGAGGCAGGCGCAGTGCCCCTGACTTAAATCCCTGGCCTCAAAATTAGTTTTTAGGGGGCTGGGGATGTAGCTCAGTGGTTCCACCGCCTGCCTCACAAGCACAAGGACCTGAGTTTGATCCCTGGTACCAAAGGTTTTAGAACCAGGCTGTTGTTTTGTTTTTTGAGACAAGGGTTTCACTATGTAGTTCAGCCTGTCACTGAAGTATCACTATGTAGCCCAAGGCTTGCCTGGAACCCATACCAGTTTCCCTACCTCAGCCTCCTGAGTGCTGGAATTACAGGTGCATCCCGTCATGCCTGGCTTCAGTCTTACTTTTAAACAGCGTTATTACCTATAGTGATAGAAACTGAAGAATAGTTACACCAACAGCACAGTTACACATGATTTGTGTGCTAGTCAAACTTTGGAACTTTAGTATAGGACTGATCATAGACTAGCTTAGGCATAGTGGTCTTCTGTCTGGAAACAAACTAAAAATTTAGTATTGTTTGGGTATTTTTTATCTTTGCTACATATCAGTTGTAAAAAGATTTTTACTGTGTTAGTCCTAATAATACTGATTTAAAGTTGTATCATAGTGAGCTATTCAAGTATAATGATTTGCTATTTTAACTACACAGATGCACAAAGTCCAGCAATACTTTGTAGCTAAACTCAGTGATCAGTACCTTCTTTGGAGGAGAAGTCTGAATGGAGTAAATATGCATAAACCCAATAATGAATGTATACTTGGCCAGAGTTCAAATCATCTGTTTCTGCTGTGAGTACTGCTGTTCAGGTTGTAACACCTGTTCCTTTAAGCTTACTCATGTAGGAACAATTCTCTCTACACAGCACTTTCACATATGTGTATGTGTGTGTGCTTGCGCATGGTAAGGGGGAGCAAACTCAGGGCCTCACACATGCTAAGCAAGCAAGTGCTCCACCACTGAACTGTACCCCTACCCTGTATGTATTACTTAGTTTGGACCTAAAGGCTATTTAATTTTAAGTGACAGGATATAGAAACTTTATTGATTCTTCAAACTCCTCCTACTCACAATAATAAAGGAAAAGAACAAAAACACTGACTCTTTATTAGCTTTTCCTTTCACTGGAAAGAAATTACCCAACAGAAGCAACTTAAGAGAGGTGTATTTTTGGCTCACAGTTTCAATGCGTTTGATCCATGGCTGGCTGGCTCCATTGCAAAGATGGCATGGTAGAAGGACCAGGTGGAGGATAGCTGTTCATCTCATGATGGGCAGGAAGCAGAGAGAGGAAGAAGAGGAGCTAGAGACAACAATACACTCCTTATTCCCCCAGTTTCCCTCCTATTCTAACCAGGCCTCACCTTCTAACAGTAGTCAGCTATAAACTCACCAGTGATGAGCTTTGTGATGAGTACAGTGCCCCATGATCCAGTTACATTCCACAGTCCCCACCTATAACTGTGAGACTTCTGAAATTGAGAACACTTTTTTACATATATTAAAGACTAACTGCCTGATGACTAACAGGCATTTTATAAAGTTCGGAAGTGGGCAACTGTTTCATTTATTTCCCTAATAAACTGGTGGGATATACCTGATTAAGGCGTAAGTCTATAATATTAAGTAAATGTCCTCAGCTATGCCCAGTTCTGTCAAACAGATATCAACCAAACTTCACTTGTTACAAGACAAAACTTTAATGAAAATTGAGCAGTGGATATGTATAATCCAGGGGCTAAGTAGTTACAAGGGACTGTCATAGAAATGTAAAGCAGAACAGATGCTAAAGTAAATGTTACATATTATCATCATCGGATTCATCTTCTTCCTTCAGTGATTCCTGTTAAGAGAAAAGATTTAAAATTCAGTTTTTTTTGTTTTTGGTACCTGGGGATTGAACTCAGGACCTTGCACTTGCAAAGCAGGCAGCGGCGCCACTGAGCTAAATCCCCGGCCCTAAAATTCAATTTTTAATAGTTACATTTCACACCTGTGGCTAACAGCCAGCTCAATAAGTATTGCTCATTAAAAATACTTGTATAAAACTAGAAAATGAACAGTGCCTTAGAATACCCGAGTAAAGGATAAGTATATCTTGCTGTAGTAACCAGTGACTATATCCTTGACAGATACAGTCAGACATACACAAATGAAAGCATTAAATATCCTGAAAAACTTGGAACTTTCACCAAATCATGTGTTCAAACCAGGGCAACTTTATCTCCATTGTAGCTTAGAGTTAACCTAAGTTCAACTCTTCATTCTTTTAATAGAAATAACCAAATTTCCCTTTTACTGAATTCAGTACAGCAAACCCATGATTTACAAACATTTGAGTTGCACACTATCACATCCTGTATAACTTACGGTACATGATTCTGGCTAGAGTTCTTATGCTTTGGCTTACCTTAGCATATTTCTCTGCTTCTTCCCTTATATCTTTTGGAACAATTTCATGTCTGCCTTTAGTTACTGTAAATTGAGACACATATTTAAGTGAGTTAAAAATGAGGACTGTATGATGTCTGTAGTACCATACAATCTTACCTAGTAATCTACAGTTGGTATGACTTGTCTAAGGTTGTAAACATGTACTATGAGTAATACAACTAGATGCTTTGAGCTCAGTAAATTATGATTTATAAATCTTGAGCACTACTTTACAATATGATTAATTTTAGAAATAGCCTAGCCTTAAAGTCCTATAGTTAACCATGCTAGAAAGAAAAAAATGATTTCTCAGTATAAAAATCACGTAATGCAGGCAGGGGGTGTAGTTAGTGCTGCCATGCCTGCCTGGCAAGTGCAAGGTGTCCTGAGTTCAATTCCTGGTACCGAAAAAATCCCCTCATAATGGATATTACATGAGATGTTTCAAGAAATAAGCTGTTCATAATTTCCATCACTTATTAAGCAGTACATTATCCTCATTGGATTACCTGGTATTTATACTTTGGCTTTGTTTTAAAAGGGAACCAGTGGTAAACAGATGTAAAGGTAGCACAGTTAAGTCCTAGAGCAGGTGAATATCCAAAAGTAACTTACATTCACCAACCCAGCTGAGCTCTAGTTCAAAAGCTTTATCCTTAACTTCATCATGTACTATGTAAATTCTAGAACAGAAAAGGACAAATTATTTGGCAAGAATGCTCCTCAATGTAAGTTATTTACAGTTATATACACATTCAAGTCTTATAAACATTAGAAGAGACAGAGTACACACAATGAAATACGAAATACAGATACTGACTATCCTGTACAACTCAAGTTCTGTTTATTTTGATGCTGTATTTGAAAGCTCTCTAAAAGACACCTAGAAAGGAACACAGATTGAAATGGAAAAAGGACATTAAGAAGTGTGCCTTTTTCAGGATTTTATTTTCCTGTTCATTGAACAAATACTTTAAAAGCCAATTAATGGAGACAGCGTTGGTTGTACACATCTGTACTCCCAGCACTCAAATCCCTAAGTCAAGATGATCTCTATTGCAAGTTAAAAGAATAAAAATTCTTTTAAAGCCAACTAATTGTTTTTGATAGTTTAGCTTTCTATTTTACAACTGATGTCACCTAACTTGGCTTTCACGTTGTAGTATGTTATAAACTGAAACGAGGAGGCACTGGCAAGTAAAACAGAGAAAGTATCAGTTAAATGTGGTTTTTTCTTGGTACCACGGATCAAACTCGGGACCTTGTGCTTGCAAGGCAGGCACCGGAACCACTGAGCAAAATCTCTGGCTCAGTTAAATGTCAGAGCTTTACCACTACCTTGCACATCTTCCTTTTGGGGAGGGTCTTTTGTTGCTGTTGTTGTTTTGAGACAGGGTCTTGCTATATATAGTTCAGGCTGGCCTTGAACTCACTGTGTAGTCCAGGCTGGCCGCCTTGAACTCAAGGTGATCCTCCTGCCTCAGCCTCAAGTACTGGGATTACAGGCGTGCATTACCACACCTGGCACTGGAGAGTCTTCTAAAGCCTTGCTGGAGAGTGTTTTAAATAAATAATGGCTTTCCTACAAAGACCTACAGAAGTCAACCATCATACCTAAATATAAACAGGTGGTGAGGGCTGACTTCATAACTTCAAAGACTGGTTCTAAAAGAATCTATTCCGTCTATCATGTTAAACTATGGTACAATTCAATGATAATACTTCTTAGGTAGTCCTAATGTTACTTGCTGCTGACAGAATGGTTGTTTATATTAAAAAAAGTTTTGTTCTTTTGTTTCTTCTTTGTAAATGAGAATCTTTTTGTCTATGACTTGTACTGAGTAACATGCTGGCCATTCTTTAAGATCATGATACAGGCCAAGTATGGTGGCACACGCCTGTAATCCTAGCACTCAGGAAGCTGCCACAGGAGGATCTCCGAGAGTTCAAGGCCAGCCTGAACTCTATATAGTGAGACTCTTGTCTCAAAAAATAGTCATGATACAGTATATTAACCATTGTTATTCTCTACTTTGTTGTCAAATTGTTTTTATATGTTTTTTCTATATTTTATTATTATCTACAGATAGTACATTAAATTTTTAAAAAGTGGTTGCTTCTAACTTAAGCTAAAAAATGAGGGAAGACAGGAAACTGGTGGTAGGAATGGTGGAGAATTAAGATGAAACCATCAATTTGAAAGATAAGAATACTTTTGGGTCGGGGATTTAGCTCAGTGATTCCGCCGCCTGTCTTGCAAGCGCAAGGTCTGGAGTTCGATCCCCAGTACCCCCCCCCCCCAGAGTATTTTTATATTACTTAACAGCATCTGGATTTTTTTCTTTGTACCTATGTAAAATGTGAGTCACCAGTGGACTACAAATCAACTCACTAGACCTAGTTCATGTAACTATGATGTGGAATTCAGGTGCTGTGAAATCTCTGGCCTGTGATAACTTTTAATATATAAAATACCTTTGCATTTTTGGATCTAGAATTATTTTGGTAAAATAACCCAAGTGTATTTATTGACTGTTGTTAGTTACTAGTTTTAAAACTTGTTACATTGTACTCTAGGTTTTCTTAGCCTTTGTTTTATTTTGGCTTGTTCAGATTTGGTTTTTTGAGATAGCGTCTTGCTGTGTAGCCCAGCCAAATTCTGAACTGATGATCTGCCTGTCTCCGCCTCCTGAGTGCTGAGATTATAGGAGTGCACCACTATGCCCAACTTAAGCTGCTTTTAAATTTTGAAATATTGCTCTTGTCATCTTGTTAAAAGAGCTTTTGTGATAAACTTGCAAGTCTTTCCTGAAGAAACACGAGATTACATAAATGAGGCAACTTCATTAGACTGTGTGTAGGAATAATTGGCTATACACTACAATAAAAATAGTTTGTGGGGCTGAGGGTATACAGTGCAATACTAGAGCACATGTTCAGCATGTGTGAGAATCCTGAGTTTACATTCCCAACACCAAACACAGAGATAAAGTTTGTAAACTTCCTTTTTAGACAGTCTCCTTATGTAGTTCAGACTGGTCTTGAACTTACTATGTAGCCTAGGCTGGCTGCAAACTCACAGTGATCCTCCTGCCTCAGCCTCCTGAGTGCTGGGATTACAAGTGTGTAAACTTTCTTTAGGGCAATCTAATATTAACTATTATAGAAACTTTTGGAATTCCTAACGATCCACTATATCATGCTACTCTTAAACTCCAATTTATTTTCTCCAAAGCTGGATTTTCCCATCCCATTTATTATGACTAAAAAATGTAATTGACTGCATTAATGATACTGCTGCTTGTGATAGAGCACATGTTGAGCATGCAAAAGCCCTAGTTCAATCCCCACCACCAAAACAAGATATTCTCCTTAATGAAGATTCATCTCCTAAAAATTCTATACTATACTATTTTCAAACAAAACAGCCAGTTACAATTTATATTGAAAAGTTTAAGTGTGGTATTTTTATGGATGGTAAAAGCAAAGTTTCAACTTACATTTTTGCAACTTCTTTAACAACATCACGGCAGGTCATTTCTTTCATCTACAGAAAAAGTATAGTAATTGTGAGTCACAACTGTATGAATTCCCATTTGAATAATTGTTCACAACTTGTTATTAGTAATAACCCAAACTCCTGAGAGTCTTAGATCTACAACCAAGGAAAATAACATAAAATCCAAAAAAGGGCCCTTTTGGCTCTCTGAGCAGCACCATGGCAGTGGGCAAGAACAAGCGCCTTACAAAAGGCGGCAAAAAGGGAGCCAGGAAGAAAGTGGTTGACCCATTTTCTAAAAAAGACTGGTATGACGTGAAGGCACCGGCTATGTTCAACATAAGAAATATTGGAAAAACACTAGTCACCAGAACTCAAGGAACCAAAATTGCATCTGATGGGCTCAAAGGTCGTGTGTTTGAAGTGAGCCTTGCTGATCTGCAGAACGATGAAGTTGCCTTTAGAAAATTCAAGCTAATTACGGAAGATGTTCAGGGCAAAAACTGCCTAACTTCCATGGTATGGATCTCACCCGTGACAAAGTGTGTTCCATGGTCAAGAAATAGCAGACCATGATCGAAGCGCATGTTGACGTCAAGACTACCGATGGTTATTTGCTTCTTTGTTTTGTGTTGGTTTTACTAAAAAAAGGAACAATCAGATACAGAAGACCTCTTATGCTCAGCACCAGCAGGTCCGCCAAATCTGGAAGAAGATGATGGAAATCATGACCCGAGAGGTGCAGACAAATGACTTGAAGGAAGTGGTAAATAAGTTGATTCCAGACAGCACTGGGAAAGACATAGAAAAAGCTTGCCAGTCTGTTTATCCTGTTCATGATGTCTTTGTCAGAAAAGTAAAAATGCTGAAGAAGCCCAAGTTTGAATTGGGAAAACTCATGGAGCTTCATGGTGAAGGTAGTAGCTCTGGAAAAGCTACTGGAGATGAGACTGGAGCTAGAGTTGAACGAGCTGATGGATATGAACCACCAGTCTAAGAGTCTATTTAAAATCCAGATTTTTAATAGTGATAAATAAAATCTTATTTGTGATGGCTTGCTTCTGAAGAAAAAAAGAAAAAATCCAAAAAAGGACCAGATTCTAAGTGTTCTGATTCATAATTTTAACATTTTTAAATTAATATGCCAAAACAGATATTCTCACTAACCCTTGGTACCACTAATTTTGCATTAAAAATTTTAAAGATCCAAAGCCCTCTGACTACTCATAGGCAGGCCCTGGAATTGTAAAATCAGTTAAGAAATCTGACTTTTTTGGTGCAGGTAGGGAGGTGTTATTGGGGATTGAACCCGGCCCTGCACAAAGAACTATATCCCCAGCCATTTTTTATTTTGAAGCAGGATCCTGCTAAATCACTAAGTTGCCCAGGCTGGGCCTGTGATCCTCCTGCAGGGTGTGCCACTATACCCAGATGCCTTTTTTTTTTTTTTTGCCATTTTGTTTGGTTTTGTTTTTTTTGAGATAGGGTCTCCCTGTATAGTTCAGGCTGGCCTTGAACTATGTAGTAACCCAGGCTGTCCTTGAATTTGTGTCGATCAGCCTGCCTCAGCCTGCTTAAGTGCTGGGATTACAAGCATGCACCACCATGCCTGGCATTTATGGCCAATTGAGGGTAATAAAATGCTGACAAGCCATAAATACCTACCATAAAATTTAGCAAAATGGGAGTGAATAAAGTTGGACCACATGACAATATATTCAAGACAAAAATGCAAAATACCAGAGAAAGCTTGGTAAAAACCACCAAGATTTAACAGGTTCTTAGTTTGATTTTGAAAAAAATAAGTAAAATGTGCAAATCTAAACTGGGGCACCAGACTGGGCCTGGTGGTGCATGCCTATAATCCCAGCACTTGGGAGGCTGAGGCAGGAGGATCACCGCAAGTTCAAGGCCAGCCTGAACTATACAGCAAGACCCTGTCTCAAACTCCCCAACCCCAAAATGTGGGGTGCCAAAAACTTGTCTGTATTAGAATTAAGCAGCCCCCCGCCCCCATATCGGGGGATCAAACTCAGGACACCTTGCGCTTTCGAGGCAGGCGCAGTCCCACTGAGCTAAATCCCCAGCAGAATAAAGCATTCTTAAAATGCCTCACACTCACTATGTGTAGAAATTAGCATTTCTCTTCTGGATGCATGAGGGGGACGAGCAAGGGCCAAAGATACTGAGATGTGATTCAACTACATCTTTAAACAAAGCCAGGTTTGTTAATATCGTTCAGACTGGCATCAAACTCACAATGATCCTCCTGCCTCTTCCTCCCAAGGGCTGGGATTACAGGTGTGCACTACCATACCCAGTTATTTTTATTGTTTTGAATTTAGAAGTCCTGATGCTCAAATCTGTGTCTCCAGAGGAAGAAGGAACAATAACAGAAGTTGTAACATTGAATTTAAGAATACTAACCCAAGGAAATAATGTAGCTGATGTGGACTTTAAAAATAATGGGGAGGGGAGAGGGTAAATTAAAAGATCTAAGAATACTGTATCAAAAGAAAAAAAATGAAGCTTTCGTAAATGAGGGGAAGAGGGGGTGAAGGGAGTGGAAAGGGATAGAAAAAAATAGGAATTAGGACATATCGTGTGCAGGTACAAATTCCATATGATGAAAGTGATCGTTATATATATCCAAATTATACCAGTAAATTTAATTTTTTAAAATCCTTCATATTTGAAAAACAATTACAAAAGACAGTGCTGAGATTGAGGTAGGTGGATTTAAGCATAGACTGCTAGCTGCAATTTCAGCATGACAGTGCTGTTATTTTAAGGTGAATACTGAAGCGGTGTCATGTCTGCAACTTTGGAAAAACTCAGGGAAAATAGAGATAAAATATGGGAAAGTAACAGTCTAGAGGTTATAATATTCTTACATCTTCTGATATTTACATTTTTCATATTAAATTAGAATTGAAGGGAAAAGGAAAAAAGTTTGCCTTTACTGGTAAAGTTCTACATTTAGTGAATTAATTGCATCATACAAAGATTATATTTAAGCAGACTTGAAAACAGTATCTTCCTAGGCTTGCTGGTGCACACCTGCAGTACCAGCTAAGCAGGCCGCCACAATCTGAAGCCACCCTGGCCTACACAGTTCAAGATGAGCTTCAACTACATCACTAGATCCTGTCTCAAAAAACTCTGGTTAGTTTATTTGTCTTTAGGCAAATTTTTTGATAAGCAAATACTCTGTTACTGCTAAAAGGAAAGCTGGGCTTTTAAGAAATATTTTCACATTAAAAGCTGAACTTCTTGCTGTTGGGGAATAATGGGTAGTTCTAACAGGACAAGCTTCGTGGTTTGTCTACTAGGAACAGAGTAAGAAGTACTCAAGCACAGCTAGACATGTAATATAAAACTTAAAGGACATAAAATCTCTGTGCCAAAGAAATGATATGGGACAAACATTAACTTTTTATTGCAATTGATTCTGTAACATGAACTCAATTTTAAAGCTAGGGAGCCATGAATGGACTTAGTTGTTTTGTACTTTTCTGCAATGAAGGTTTTTAACAGCCATCCAGCTTTTTTATTTAACCACTTACCAGCTTCAGAAAACTGTTCTTTGTATCAAGCTGCACTACATCCTTACATTAAGAAGTTTAGTCTGTGGTGATAAATCTTCATTTCTAGAAGACTCAAACATTAAATATATATTACCTGAAGCTTTTCTATTTCTGTCTTTGCAGCCTGCTTGGCTTTGCCAATAGCACAGCCCCAATAACCCTATTAAAAAAGATAAAAACCACATAATCATTCAGTTAATATATTATCCAGTATCATTTAATAACCAGCTTTTTCTATATAAGTTAATGAAAATGTGTTAAATGACTCAAAAGTAAGTATGGAAAACATATTGACACCTTCTCGTGAATATTTAGAAGCTCAAAAAAGTTAAAATATCAAGCTTCACTCTAGAAGAACCTTTATTTTTTTTCCCCTCCCCCAGTGGTCCTGGGGTTCAAACTCCAGGCTTTCTACATGCTTCTAAGGAACTCAAAACACTGAGCCATATACTCTGTTTTAAAGACACTGCTAATATTCATAGTAATGAAAAATCACATTCAAATTTTACTATGTAGTATGTATAAATACTATTGAAAACAACAAATTTTTCCTGCCTTGCATTCATAGGTTATTTAAGAAACAAAAAAATACGGTGAGGGATTGTAGCTCAGTAGAACCACACCTGCCTGGCAATTCCATCCTGAATTCCATCCCCGGTACCAACAAAAACCTAAACAAAACATTCTTCTCATTAGGTTTTTTTCTTTGGTACCAGGAACCTTGCGCTTTAGGTAGGTGGCAGAACCACTGAGCTAAATCCTTGGCCCTAATTTGTTTTGTTTTGTTTTTCCTAATTAGTTTTTAAATTACATATAATTGGGCTAGGGATTTAGCTCAGTGGTTCCATTGCCTGCCCTGCAAGGGCAAGGACCAGAGTTCGATCCCCAGAACCAAAAAAAAGCAAACCTGTAATTAAAATGAAAGAAATGTTAATGAAATACCATTAAACTACAGAAGAATTTACCATAATTCAAAACCACTCACGTATGAAACACCTGATGGGTCGATCATGTACAGCTGTGCACCATCATTCACACTGTAAGACCCAAGCATGAAACTGCACAGAAAAATAAGGACTTTAAAACACTTTTCTTAGGGCCTGAGATGTAGCTCAGTGACATATCTATCTATAGAAAGATAGATAAAGATATACAGATATGTATAATGACTACTTTGGTTAGTTTCAAATAAAAACTAGCCCATACCATCAAAATTTTTGTGGCCTTTTTTGTTTAGAATTAAACTTCCTGATGAAATTACCCTTGGGAGGCAGCAGTGCGGAGAAAGGAGTCGGGATAGGTGGAAAGCACCACTGAGGAGAAAACCTGACCTAGGCATAAACAAAGTCAAGGGAAACTGAAAGTAAAACTGAAAGCTTGGCAACCTTTTTCTGTTCTCCAGTATTCCTCCAGTCATTTTTCTGCAGTAAAAAATGTTTTACTCTTTTATATGCTCATAAATTAAAATTAAGCTATTAAATGATCATAGGGATTGCTGATTTTCTGAAACTGTGATATGTGCTTTAGGGAAGAGAAATCAGCACCATCTTACATGTAATTTCACACGTGGGAAATATTTTAACAATTATCTACTCACCATTTCAATTACTCCTTTCCCTTTTCCAGAATGTCATGAGACATGCCTTTCAGAATACGTGACTGTCATCATTTTGAGACCCTTCAAGGTTTTTTTTGTTTCAGACAAGGTCTCACTACCTAATTTGGGCTGGGTAGAACTCATGCTGATCTTCCTGCTTCAGCCTGAGCCCTGGGATTTAAACCCTTCACCATTTCCTTCATTGAAACTCTTAACCATGCTATGTGAAATAGTATTTCTAACCCTTGAACTCTGCAGAGCAAGTATACTTGCCTACCTTTATATATCTGAATGGTGTGTGTATAGTTTTACACCATCTCTCTGCTAGAAATACTCTTCATCCATTCTGCCTACCTCACAACACTTCACTGCCACCTCCAGGAAAAGATCGTTCCAGAGTCTGTTGCCCCAGGATACTCAGGACATACTGCTATCACCTCTAAGGTTTTATTCATCTGGGTAATCACATCTATGACTGACTCATATGTTCTTACAGCCTGAAAAATAGCAGAAAAGTAACTGGTGTCCACAGAGCTCAGCTGAAAGGTGAAAAGTGAAAGGTATTTTATATAGTCAAAGCAGAGTTTTTCAGAGTAAGTAACTGTAATAACTAATAATAAATTATCTACCAGGTGGGGCTGGGTATTTAGCTCAGTGGTTCCGGTGCCTGCCTTGCAAGTGTCCTGAGTTCGATCCCCGGTACTAAAAAAAAATTATCTCTCAGGTCTACCCTAGTGTCAGCACAATAAAATACAGGTTTTCTTTAATATGTCTGTCTGAGTAATTTTAATATGGCTCACTGTAAACTCAAAAGGTGGGACTAGAGCTAAGCACTAAGATTTTGAACAGTGCTTTATTTTGATCAAGCACGTCTGCCTAGTTCAAAAGTCTTCTCAGGAAAATCTAGTCATGACAGGTCTCCTTGCAGAAGCCGTATTTGGAAATCCCATTCCAGGTCTTGCTGCAGTTGACTCCCCACTTTCACCAAAGGTGAGAATACTAAAAAAAAGAAAAGTGAGAATACCAGCACCTCACCTCCCCAACAGATTTTCTTCCTGTGAAAAAAATCATGAGGGCCAGGGATTTAGCCCAGTGGTTCCGCCGCCGCCTGCCTTGCAAGTGCAAGGACCCGGTACCAAAAAAAAAAAAGAGTGAGACTCAAAAAAATCATGAAATGTAATTATGTATGGCTTCGTTACTAATGAATTCCATTTAAGAGCATTTTACCTGAGTGCTTAAAGGTATCAGATAAAATTAAGACTACTGAAGTATAATTAACTACTTAATGTCAACTTGAGGTGTTGTCAGCTTACAGTTTCCTGAGATGATCAGGGAATTAATGCCAGAGAATTAACTGCCATCAGATTGAAAAGTCATAATTAGAGTTTCTTAGTTTACATCACTTTAAATCTGTACAATCCCTTTCACTGTTCAAATAGTTTTTATGTGTACTTTTAATCTCTGTCCTATATTTCTTAGTAAGATTTTGTCTTTTTAAGCATATGAAAAGGGACAACATGCTGAGGAAGGATAGATATCTAACGGTACAGATCTGACCTGTGAGCATCTCAGAGTTCCTACCTGCAGCCGAATGGTCTAACAGCACTGTAGAGTGTGTAAGCATGTACGTACATCGCCACTCTGTCTGCAAGATGCTGTGAGGAAGAAGAGCTTATTAATACGTTTCTGCTCAATACTACTGCTCAAGAAGCTCAATATGTTATCAACTTACTTTGAGTGGAATGTTATAGCCAAAGTTAGATCTGAAGTTGGAAGCTTCTTCTCTTGCTATGTCTGCTAAAGAACGAGCATCTGCCAGCAAACCTGCTACTGCCTAAAAAGAGGTACCAATTTAATAAGCATATTCCTGTTACAGAACAAAAAGTACACAAATATGACTCTGTCTTATCAGTCACGTTAAGAAGGAATAGTCCTATCACAGTCCTCTCCCCAGTCTCCACCTCACTGTAAAAAGCTTGATTTAAATAGTTTTATATTCAAAAAGTTACTAAGTTTTGGTCTAAAAAGCACAACTACATATGATTTTTAGCCTGTTAGCTAATAAACCACAGTGAAAAACTAAAATACGACTGTTAATTGTTCAAAATTGGTGGCTTAGATCTACAATTCCTGCACTGTGTGGTCAGATATCCTGGTGCACTGGAGGGAAACTATAGGTAGTGGGGGACATTTTAAATTTGGAAGGAAAGAGAAGTCGGTTTTACATTGTTATTTTACTACATTCCTTTCGATGCCATGAAACCTTTGAGAACCTGTAGTGTATCATCACAGCACTCAAGAGGCCGAGGCAGGAGAATCAAGAGTTTCAGGGCTGGGGGTTTAGCTCAGTGACACTGTGCCTGCCTCGTAAGCACAAGATCCCAAGTTCAATCCCCGGTACCCAAAAGAAAAGAGTTTCAGACTAGCCTGGACAATATAGTGAGATACCCAATAAAATTTAAAAATTAAGAAATTTAAAAAAAAACAACAGTACTATGCAAAAATCAATACGGAATGCCAGGCATGGTGGTGCACACCTATAATCCGAGCATTCAGGAGGTTGAGGCAGGAGGAACTGATAGCAGTTCAAGGTCATCCTGGGCTACACAGTTTAAGGCCAGCCTGAACTACATGCTGAGACCCTGTCTCAAAAAAACCCCAATAAAGAACAGCCATCTGATCTGATAAACACATTAGTAAACATAATTTTTGTAATCTTTAAAAATATTTTCCTTTCATTGTATATTTTTTCCTAAACAGCTACTGTTCTTAAAACAAAGTTTAAGTTATTTGAACCCAATTACTTCATAAAACCTTAGGTATAAGGTATTTTTGATCTACAGAAGCCATGAACAGAAACCTTTTGATACTAAGGAACCATGAACCAAGAAAGCTTGGAAACGGCTAGATTACATTTACAGAATCTAAAAGTGGTATTAGAATCTTTAAATTTCTTTTTTCCTGAAAGCAGAATTCCACACACATTGCATGTTAAGCATTTTACATAATTATTTTGAACTTCACAACAACTGTATAAAGAACCAGTAGACTCTAAAGTCTCATAATTCTCCATTCACTTTGAAGATGAGAGCTGTGGAGAGGACATTATGCCTTAAAACCCTTTGAGTTCAATGTTTAATGTTTTGCCAATTTCCAAGTATAAAGAATGCCATAGATTCCTGGCTTTAAATTTACCTCCAGACCAGCTAGCTAGGTTACAGTCTGGCAAGTTTCATCAAGACCTATCAGTTTCACTGGCAATAATAAATCTGGTCAGGAGAAAAACTGTTCAGAAAATATAATCACTTATATTTCACTAATCCTTTTTATGTAAACTGCATCTCATTTAAAAGCTGCAAATCTATCAGGAAATGCAGGCGGTCCTACAGGGTGAGGCTACAAAAGGGGCTCTGAAGTAACAGGAAACCCAAACTTGAACTCCCTCCCCACCTGTGCGTGTCTGCTGTAAAAATGGGGTTAACCTCAGCAGTAGGGATGAAAAAGAATTTATGTGGCGTTCACATCATGGTACTAGCACACAGTGTTTCCTTTTCTTCCTTGCCTTTCCAGGTAGCAGTATTAGAAACCCATTTCCTTACAGTAGTTCTTCCTGAAGGAAGTCTGCCATCTACATAGGGTGACTTCAGTACTGTATGTACCAGTAGTGTATCTATGGCTTAGTGTGTGCTTGTGTGGAGCACTTTTTCTGCTGCTCTACCTTATTATAAATGTTCTCTGAGTATAACATCTTTGCTTATCCCAACAAAGGATACAAAAACCTAGATTCTCTGTATCACCTCCGTTGATGATCCATAGGATCATGATCTCATTTCTATATACTCCTCACCCTCTCCTTTTCTTTTTTGAGACAGAGTACTTTCACATGTAGTTCAGGCCAGCCAAGAACTATTTACCCTAGGCTAGCCTCAAACTCACGTGACCCTCCTGGCCTTTGCCTCCTGTGCTAGGATTACAGGCACGTGCTACCATGACTGGCCTCCCCACTTCTTTCCTTAAGGTAACTTGGTTTCCACATCTGTCATTAATCAGGTTATGGGCTGATTAACCTTTATTTTAGTAAACTGTTCAAACCTAGTAACTCAGTTATTCTAATTATCTTTCTAGTTGCTCAATGATCCACTACCTCAACATTAATGTAATAAATGAATTCTTAAAATCACATTTTAATGCAATTGTTACTTCAGAAACTGGACAAAGAGGAACATTTTAAAACGTGACCTTACCATTCCAACATGCCGATCAACATTAAAAAGCCGTTTGTTGGAACCTTCTTCATAAAGTTTAGAAAGAACTAATTTTTCTACCCCAAAGACAACACCATCTTTACATCTGATCCCAATAGCTGTACTGGAACAAAGAAAAAAATTTTTTTTAACTTAAGAAAGAAACTTCCTAATAAAACAAATCACAAGATAGGTAACATTTAAAGCATGTCAAATACATTAAGGCATTTAAAAACTAGAAAAATAACCCAAAGTGTGATAAACAGATCTAAAATAATTTTTTTTTAAATAAATTAGATCTGTATAAAAAGTTTTCATGTTGAGCCAGGGATTTAGCTCAGTGATTTCGCTGCCTGCTGCTCAAGCGCAAGAACCTGAGTTCGATCCCCAGTACCAAAAAAAAGAACACTCCTCAAAAATCTGTCATAACAACTGAATAAAGAAACTTACACAGTGCTAACAAAATATGGCACAGTGTCTGGCAAGTTAGTCATGTTCAGTGCTGTCCATCAGAAGATAAAAGACAGATAACAGGAAAAGGGAGATCGATATGTGGTGACAGGGAAAGGGACCAAGAGTTGGAGGTGGGGTAGCAAAGGGAGGGGAAAGGAATGAAGATGTACCAACTCCACACCAGGAATGTCATCATCATGTGCTGCAAATGTACTGACTACACAGTGAGACCCTGTCTCAAAAAGCTAAGAAAATAGGCTACATACAAACTAAAACAAAAAAGGTGACCAATCTGGGTAGAGGAATTGATTTATTCTTTAATTTTGTTCATTTTTTCCAATTTTTCTATAATAAATGTATTGCTTCTATGAAATAGAAATCTATGAAAATAAAATGTTCTGCTGTAATCAAGATAAAAAGATCTTAACCTCAAGTAAAAGTTGGAGAAGTTATATGATGCTCTTTCAATATTAAAATGTTAATTTAAGGGCCAGGGATTTAGCTCAGTGGTTCTACTGCCTGCCTCGTAAGCGCAAGGACCGGAGTTCGATCCCTGGTACCAAAAGAAAAAAAAGTTAATTTATACTTTTTATCCTTTTTAATAAAAGTAATTCTGAGATCATAGGGTTATACACTGGTATTCCCAGTACTTGAGCGGCTGGGGCAGGAGGATTACTGCAAGTTTGAGGCCACCTTGGACTACACAGTTCAAGATCAGCCTGAACTACACGGTGAGACCTTGTCTAAAAGAATAAATAAATAAAATAATAATAATAATAATTCTGATCAGGAAAAACCCAACAGGGAAGTATAAAAAATGTTTATAGTTTTGTGGGTAAAATTATCTCTCAACTCTTTTTTTGGTAATAGCATCACCAAGCTCTAATCCCTTGACTTTCTCCTTCATTTCCCATGCTGAACTATGTACTACTGACTTTTTTCTTCACAATTTCCTTTTTTGGTACCGGGGATCGAACTCAGGACCTTGTGCTTGCGAGGCAGGTGCCAGAACACCACTGAGCTAAATCCCTGGCCCTCTTCACAATTTCTTAGGCCCACATCTTCCTCTCTAATAACTTTACCAGCATTAGGGTCCTTGTAATTCCAGGATTATAACAATATTTTTTCCACTTCTTCAATCCACCTCTCTTAATTTGACAGCCTCATCTCTAGCCTGATTTTCTTTTGTCATCATGATAATCTACAGCAAAGGTGGAGGAACTGCATCAGTCACAGGCCTCTCGCGGTCTGACGAGACCACGGTGCTTCTTCCCAAAGATGAACAAGCACACGTGCCAGTTCGACAGAACCTCAGACCCTGTCCTCCACACCTGAGGTGCATTCAGGGGCCCCTCGCTCCAGTCTAAACTCTGCCCAGCTTTTTGGGTAAAAGCTCTGAGAAAGTGGCAAAGCTCATACAGCTTATCCAACACCCTGGTACGTGAAGCCCACACACTGACTCTAACCTCACCGCCACCTCAACACACTGAGCACTTCTGCCTCAGTGTCTTTGAAGTAAAGTTATCTGTGTCTTAAACTTAAGCTCTACCACCTCAGGAATCTTTCCCTGATCATTCCAATACACCTTCCTCAAGTTTAAAAAAATCTGTATTCTAAAGTAAAAGTTCTCAATGTGTAGTTTGGAAACTCTGTGGGATGCCTGAGACACTTTCAGGGAGTCCATAAAGCCAAGACTATTTTCATAAGAATACAAAAAATGGGCTGGGGATTTAGCTCAGTGGCATCTCACCTGCCTGGCAAGTGCAAGGTCCTGAGTTCGATCCCCAGTACCGAAAAAAAAAAAAGTTACTAATGTTAATATGTAATTGTGTTTAAAGCTCTAATTTTTGGTGCTGCAGACTGAACCCAGGGTCCTGTGCCTGCAGAGTATGTGCTTTATTTACCGCTGGGCTATAACCCCAACCCTGTACTTTTTCCCCTCAGTTGGCTGAGGTGTAGCTCAGTAGCAGAGCGCTTGCTTAGCATGTTCAAGGCTGAGGCTTCCACCCCAGCACACACACACCACACCACACCACACACCAACCTGCCTGAAAAAGTGCGGCAGGACCTGGGGATTAGCAACACCTGCAAGCATTGAAGCCCTGGGTTCAGTCTTTACGCCAAAAACTGAGAAGCACATCAATGACAGAACGTTCTGTTCCAGCCAACAAATACCTAATGATAGGTCTTTGGGCCTTTCCTTAGAATATTTTCTAAAAAGACCTTCCAACTGTAAATATAGTTAGTCCTCTATACAACTGCAAATTCAACCAAATGTGGTGTGAAAATATGAAAAACAAACTTAAAAAGGACATACATGTTCACCATGCTCAAGATTCTGAGTTTGATTCCCAGCACCAAAAAGTTGGTACGCATGGGACTGAACCAAGAAATCCCAAATACACAAGGGGAAAAGCTCATTTTTAGGGTTTCACTTTCTAAAAATACTTCCTTATGGTTGCTTACATGTGACTGTTTTAAATGATATTTAAAGATATTTTATAGAAAACAAATTCCTGAGTAGTTCTTCATAGCCTGTCCTCCATTTTCAGAATTACAGATGGTTTCAAAATACATCTGCAGTATTTTTCTTAGGATTTCTTAGTCAAGTATTTCACATCACTGAAAATACAAAAATGCAAAGGAGGAAGAGAAAAACTGTTAACTTCTCTAGTCTCTCTAGCTCCTTGTTCCAAAACCCCCCAATTTTTTTTAAGATCAGGTCTCCTTTTGCCCATGCTGGCCTCACACTCATGCTATCTTCCTGCTTTAGCCTCCCAAGTTGCTGAGATTATTTTTTCTTAAATTTGAATTCTATCACTTCTGTAAACAATGACAAATATATATCAGCCTAAAATTCTTAGCCTTTTTTTCTATTATACAATCAGATACTAACAGATAAGTACCAATATCACTAAAAAAACTACATTTAAACACAAAATACATTGCCTTCATTATAAATTCAAAAAAAATTAAAATATTTTTTGCTAAAAATTTTTTAAATGTTCCACAAACCTTTAGAAATTCACGTGTTTTCTGCCACTCAAGATGGCATGTAAGGGACATTTATTCATTAATTACTAAGGGCTTGCTATGTGCCAGCCATGCAAAGACAAGTGACTCTCTATCCTCATAAAAATCTCATATTAATAATACTAATGGAACCAGGCATGGTAGCATGTCCCTGTAATTTCAGCAATCAGAAGGCTGAGGAAGGAAGACTGTGAGTTCAAAACCACCCTGGGCTACACAGTTGGGTTCAAAAGGCCAGCCTGGACTAAACAACAGCCCCCTCCCCAAAACACCACCACCACCAACAAAGAAACCAGCATTTGCTCCATGTGCTTTGCCAACATTAAAACCATTTTCCTGCTCTATCTTTATTCCAAAGGTTTTCACTGTAATGAGAAAACAGCCCAAATACTAACACCCTATATGTATCTGAAAAAAAAAAAAAAACCTAAAAAATCTGAATGAGATGTTATGATAGAAATTGTAAGGGTCAGGAGAATAGCTCAGTGGTAGAGCACTTGCCTAGCATGCACAGGCCCCACATTCAATTCACAGCATGACCCCCTCCAGAAATAAGAAATGTAAAAAAGTCCTTTACTGGGCCGGAGGTTTAAGGTCCTGAATTCAATCCCTGTTTCCACACACAAAAAACCCCCAAAAAACAAAGTCTTTTACTTCATCCCAAAGCTGCTTCAGATTTGAAAACACATAAATGTGACTACAAAATTTTCTCAATGAAAGATTCAAATTTGTCAAGAGCTAATAATCGAGACATTAGAGGGGTATGAAGTAATCATTTTAGTGCACTACTTAAAAAAAGACACAGTGCCGAGGATTTAGCTCAGTAGTGCCGAGCCTGCCTCAAAAGCGCAAGGTCCTGAGTTCAATCAATCCCTGCTCCTGGAAAAAAATAAAAAGAAGAAAGGAAACTAGTTCAACTCAGGAAAGGCAGTGATCCTACACCTTTTGAAGCAAGGGTGCATCAATAAAGAAGAATTTTTTAAAAAGAAAGAAAAACTCCGGAGATGAACATGTGGACAACTGCACAGGACATTTAAAACATAAGGTGGATGAGAAGTAAAAGATGACAACGTCACAAACCTAAGGGCCACGGAAAACAATGATATAAATCAAGAATTTCAGGGCTGGGGTTTTAGCTCAGTGGTTCCGCCACCTGCCTCGCAAGCCCAAGGACCTGAGTTTGATCCCTGGTACCAAAAAAAACCACCAGAATTTCAAAAAGAAAAATGAGCTGGCAAAGACGATTATGAATGTGGTTTTTGCAGTAGATTTTAGACATGCCTATATAAGTGGGATCAACTGGAAATACAGGACTGGTGCTCCTGGGAAAGATCTGGCCAAGAAAGAAAACTGGAAATGACTAAGTTGAGATTATTTTAGGGCATATACTAGTTTGTGTCAAAGAAACAGCTTAATTACTAAAAGTATACAAAATAAATTTAGTACTTGGTTAAAATATTAATTTCAAGTAAAACAATGTTTCTTACCTGCTATTTTCCACAGCCTTCATGGCATATTCAACTTGAAAAACTCTTCCATCTGGAGAGAATGTGGAGGCTGACAGGTCATACTATTAAGAAAAGGACAAGAACAAGCTTACAACATGTCTTTGATAGTAACAACCATACAAGCTGCTTTATTCTCTAAATGTTTTAAGCATCAGGAATGAGTTCTAGCCTGAGGACAAATGCTTTGAAGAGGAAGAAACAGTGGCTGAGGAAAAGTTACACCATTCAGATTTCCGCTACTGAAAAGTAACAGATCCAAATCACAGGAGATCAGAAATTCATTCACATAGGACACAAAATTCTTCTTTTCTTCTTTCGAGACAGGGTCTCAACGGTGTTGTCCAAGCTGGCTTTGAACTTGCAATACTCCTACCTCACCCTGAGTGCTGGGATTACATGGATGTGCCAGCACACCCAAATCCCAAACTTTTTTTTTTTTGGTACACGGGGTGGGGGTGGGTGGGGGGGGTGATGTATGGATATGGAACTCAGGACCTTGTGTTTGCCAGGCAGGCGTGAAGCCACTGAGCTACATCCCCAGCTTTTAAAAAGTTAAAAGTTAAGGGCTGGAGATGTAGTTCAATGGCACCCCACCTGCCCAGCAAATGCAAAGTCCTGGGTTCAATTTCCGATACCATAGAAAACAAACAAAAAACTAAAAAAAAACAACAAAAAAAAACAGGGCCTACAGATGTAGTTCAGTGGTGCTGTGCCTGCTGGCAAGCGCAGAGTCCTGAGTTCCATCCCTGGTACCAAGGGGGGAAAAAGAGGAAATTTAAAGTTAAGATGGGATGACAGAAACAAAAGTCAGAACTTGTTATTGTTTTCGGGTTTTTTTTTGCAGTGCTGGAGACCAAACCCAGGGCCTGGCACATGCAAGACCTGTGCTATACGACTGAGCCACATCCCCAGCCCAGTCAGAACATTCAAATTTGTAGTTGTGCCACTAAGTGAAGAATGCTGGTGAAAGCATTTAACATTCACTTTTTTTTTTTGGTACCGGGGATCTAACTTGGGACCTTGTGCTTGGCGAGGCAGGCAGCAGAACCACTGAGCTAAATCCCCGGCCCAACATTCACTTATTTTTAATAAGTACCTATTATGCCGGGCATGGTGGTGCACACGTCCAATCCCAGCACTCAGGAGGCTGAGGCAAGAGGATCACTGCAAGTTGTAGGCCTGCCTGGGCTACACAGTGAGTTCAAGGCCAGTTTGAATTGCACAGAGAGACCCTTCCCCCCACCCCAAAGCACCTACTATATATGTCACTAAATAAGAATACAAAGATAATCATTCATTCATGAAATACTTCATTTTTTAAAGCAAAACATTCATCACAGAATTTGTACCTGTACATGATATATCTTGCTTCTATTTTTCCTATTCTCCTCTCCTCCCTTTAACCCTTCTTCCCCTTTTTATTTACAAAGCACTTTCATTAAAAATGAAACTTTGATCCCCGGTACCAAAAAAAAAAAAAAAAAAAAGAAACTTGGGGTGGGGGGTACCGGGGATCGAAGTCGGATCCTTGAGCTTGCGCAGCAGGCGGCCAAACCAGAGCAAAATCCCCGGCACTGAAACTTCATTTTTAATCCAGTCAGACAAATCTAGGCATAGATACAGAACTAAACCAGAAAAGGTAATGAAAATAAAACAGTAAAACCAGTCGGGCGTGGTGGCGCACATCTGTGATCCCAGCACTTGGGAGCCCGAGGCAGGAGGGTCGCCAGAAGTTCCAGCTTAAATTCAAGGCTAGCCTAAAGTACATAGCTAGAGACCCTGTCTCAAAAACCAAAAAACCCCCAAACAGTAAAATGATAGTATTACAGGGTGCTTCATCAAAGAAAGCCCTGCTGAGGCAGTTCTATTTGAGTCAGAACTCAGTGGCAAGGAAGCATCCATTCAGCATACCGAGGATGCGCCTCCCTGGCATTTGATACAAAGACCTTATAGTTGCAACTAGCATAGCCCAACCAAGCAACAGAAATAAGGTCACCACCTACCTACATTCTAAGCGCAATAAGTGCAGAACAGAGTGTACTAAGCCAGCGAAGGAGAGCAGAGCCGAACTCTGGCAGGCTTTCAGGCTGCAGTGGGTGTAAATAGGTACTAGGGAGCAGTATTTTATTCTAAATGCAATGAGTTTAAGCGGGGAGGCAACATGATCTAAATGTTCAAAGCATCACTCTAGCTTCTCGTGGAAAATGAACTGTAGAGCCAACAAGAGTGAACTCAAGTGATCAGGTACTCCAAAGACCGGTGGAAAAGACTTCACAAACGCAATACGCTGAACAAAGTAGCCTAACAGGTTAAGAAGTCCAACTCCGACATCCTCATTTGTCTTATTGACAGTCAGAAGTAGTTAAGTCCCTAGATAAGCACTTACACGTTTACAGCACCAATGCCTGAAACAGGAAAGGCTGGAACAAAAGAAAAGCTGAAAGGATGCATCAGATCCAGCCTTTCAGATCCAGGGGCCTTTGCACCGCAGGGCAGGCCGGCCTGTGAGTCAGCAGTGCCCCGTTTCCCGCGAAGGCGGCCGTGGTCTCGGACGTGGAACCCAAGCTGCAGTGCCGCCTTGGGGGCTCTCAAGGGGCGAAGGGAGGACCGAACCCTTCACACACGTCAGGACCCACGGGTTTCCACTTTCGATTTCCCCCAGCAGCTAAAAACGTGACTCAGCAACACCAAGTGGTTGCGGCCTCGCTGTCGCCCCAAGCTCGCGCCCGCGAGCGCAGCGCCGGAAGGGCCGCCCCGAACTCGGGCCGGGACCCACTTCGCACGGCAGGTCTCGATGGCCCCGACCGGCCCCCGGCCAGAGGCGCCCCGGCGCGCTCCGGGGCAGAGCTCCCCAGCGTGGACCTCCCAAATTTCCCACGCGCACTCTAATCCACCGACCAGACCTCCCCGTCGGAGGCAAACTCACCCCAGTTCCGATGGAGCTCATCTTGCCCACACCACCCGAGATTTAGGGTTCTTAGGCCCACAGCGCTTCACCTATTCCTCAGCCAGCGCAGGCCAGTAACACGCCCTCCCATTGGTGCGCTTCCAACCAATAGGCTCTTCCGCTGCGGCTCGCAGAGGATTGTGGGGGGAAGGGGAGAGAGTGGCGGGCTGCGCACAGACGCAGAAGGCAGAATTATAGTTCTTCGGCCGCTTTTGAGTCAGGGCCTTGGTTATTTAAGAAGCTGTCCTATTCCTTTTCCTAATAATTACCTTTATTATCTATCAACTTTCTTTTGGTTCTTGAAGCAGAGAGGAAAGTTGTTCCTGTCCCGTTCCCCCCAATTAAAACCAGAGTTTTAAAACTGCGGGGCGTGGTGGCACACTCCTGTAATCCCAGCACTTAGGAGGCTGAGCAGGAGGATCGCTGAGTTCGAGGCCAGGCTGAATAGTGAGGCTGTCTGCAAAAAGTAAACGAACAGAAAACAGAAGAGGAGAGGTATCCATTCCTTTGTCTTTGGCCACCTGGTTCTGACCCAGTATCTCTATGGCCTCTGTTCATCCTCTTCAGGCGATTGGGTAGAAATTGTACTTTAAGAAAAAAAAAAAATACACTTTTAAGGATCTCATCTGAGCTCAACTTGACTTGGAATCTTACAGATGTCTTGGTGCCCTTTCTAGAGTAAAAGCTAATCCTTACTAGAGATGTATTGAGTACTAATTATGTCTAAAAGTACTCTTATACATTGCTGATAAAATGAACAAGTTCGACTTCCACATGGAATTTGCAGTCTGTGGGAGGAAGTGGGCAACAGAATAAACAGGCAAAATATTTGCACCTTGCTATAAGTAGTAAGAAGGGAGAAGAGTGAGTTAATAGGTAATGGGGGTGCGAACTTTAGGCCTGGTGCTCAGGGAATGACTTTCTCATGGAGTGATATTTAAACTGAAACTTGGGATAAGAAAGGGCTGATTGTGACTCAGGTAACTGGCAACAGGTGAAACCTGGCTGGTTTTAGGAAGTCAAGTCTGACCTGCCACGCAGATTAGGAGAAAGACAGAAAAATCAGAGATGTAGACATGGAACCAGAACTTGTAGTGATTGAATTTTAATATGATTGTAAATAAAAAGATGGCAGAATAGTTTATAAATCCTAAATACTTCATTATATATTTCCCCCAAATAACATTTTACATAATACAATTACAAAAATGAGAAAGGTACATATTACTCTACTTTATTCATAGTTTTGGAATTCTCCCAAATAATCATAGCACAAGATCCAAGATCATACATTGTGTTCGGTTGTCATGTTTACACTCTCTTTTAACCTAGAAAATAGCTGCTTAGTTCTTTACTTTTTTTTTTTTTTTTTGGTGCTGCGGATTGAACTTGGGTCCTTGCACTTTCGAGGCAGGCAGCAGAACCACTGAGCTAAATCTCTGGCTCTAGTTCTTTACTTTTTTATGGCATTACATCTTTTGTTGTTTGTTCGGTTTGGTTTTCGGAGACACTTTGAATTCACTATGTAGCCCACCCTGGCCTCAAATAAACAATGATTCTCCCGCCTCAGCCTCCCAAGTGCTGGGACATTAACATCTTTGATGAACAGAAGTTGTTTATTTTGTAAGATGTTCTATAATTTAGGTTTAGCTCATCTTTTCATTAGATTCAGGTGATACATTTCTGGGACAAATACATGGGAGACACATGTGTCTGGTGATGTTTTCTCCAAGATTTGTTTTTTCCTTTGTCACTAATAGATACCTGGTGAGGGGGCTGGGGATTTAGCTCAGTGGTTCCACTACCTGCCTTGCAAGCAGGAGGACCCGAGTTTGATCCCCGGTACTAAAAAAAAAAAAAAAGATCTGGTGAGAAATTCATTTGAGACTATGTGAACATCATAGCATCTGATGATTCTTATTTCAATCAATTATTATTCTAATGATTGTCAAGTGGCAGTTTCTAATCTATTATCTGTTTTACATTGATGATTGGTTTTCTGCTATGAAATCATCAGAAGTTTTTAAGTAGGAAAATTATGTTAATTGATTTAAATTAGTAAATGAATTTTCATTTCTGTGTGAAGAATGATAGCTAAAGGGAAGAACAGAAGTGGAGATACTTCTTGGAAAGCTGTTGCAGTCTCATGGGCACACAATAAAGGAAAATGATTTGTAGAGGTAGAAGTGGAAAGGGAAATGTATGGATGGACTTGAGATTGTAGGGCTTGCTGAAGAATTGGATGCAGAAAGTAAAAGAAAAATGAATTTGAATTGTTCTCCCAGCCAATGAAGCATTATAATTAATGATTAGGTTTTATTCTTCAAAAATGAATACAAGATTTGAATTTACTTGGAAGACTAGCCGGCACTTAACTTGCCTAACTCATTAAACATTCTAGTTGCAGTTCCTTCATGAGGGGTTCTAATTTAGACCAAGATAGTCCAAAAAAATGTTGAAGAAAAGCTAAAGGATATAGTCAAAGGAAGGTTCAAGTATTCAAACTTGTTTAGGTATTTAAACTTTTAAATAACTTCACTACTTGTGTGTAATAAACAGTATCTGAGTCTGGGACACTATCCATTATCAAGAATTTGAGGAGTCTTTCTGAACTCATTGTTAGACAAACTGCCCAACTTGAGGCTGGATTGTGTCTGGACTAACACACTGAATTGTGGTCTCAGGTTCTTGATTATTTGCTTGATTTTTACACGAGTTAGACATAGATTTGTCTGTTTTAACCACTTACTCCAAAGTACATTTGAAGGTAGTATATATAAGATTGGTATGCAATTTACGTATCTCTTTTTTGTTTTTTGAGATAGGGTCTCACTATATAGTTCAGGTTGGCCTTGAACTGACTATGTAAGGCCAGGTTAGCTTCAAACTTGTGGTGATCCTCCTGCCTCAGCCTCCCAAGTGCTGGAATAATATATGTGCACCACCACAGCAGGCTACACATCTTTGAGGCTATCAGGGTCTAACCCTTCTATGAGAATACCTAGCAATGCTTTCTACATTAGGTACTTAATAAATATGATTTTAATAAATCATAAAATGATTAAATTGTAATGGCAGACTTACAGTCCACAGTGTGGCAGCTCTTGCCAAGAAAAATGAAGAACGCACCTGGAGATTGCAGGCAAGTTTATTACACAGGCAGACTGATGGGGGATTTCTCCACAAAGCAATCACCCCAGAGTTGGTGGTGAACAGGGTTTATATGGGTTAAGGGAAGAGGGGTGGGGATGCAGAAGCAAGGCATTTATCTTCAGTTCAAGGTTGAGGAAGTTACATTAGTTTACATGATTTGATAGAAAAGTACCCTGGATACAGCCTCTTCCTGAGAACAAAGGACAGTGAAGGAGGACAGGTGTTAGGTGTGGGAGGGGGGATGAACTGGGTGGGAGTGGCTCTTTGTCAGGTCAGCACCCCGCAGGAAAAACCTTTTTTGCTCAGAAATCATTTTCCAGCTCAAAATAAGATGTTCAATAATGTTATATTAACATACATTGTTATACCTACCAATTAAGATAAATAATACTTTTAATATGCAAAAACCAGTTAATTCACTTTCCAGTTCCATTGTACCAATTTATAAAATAATCACAAATAAATCACTTTACAAATGCAAGAGAAAACTCTTACTAATTATGTCTTAAAATTGTTAATTACTTATGTACTGGTTCTAATTTGAGGAACCTAAACATTTTGTGACACGTCACATTTCTTTGTGTTTTTTTGGTTTTTTGGTACCGGGGATCGAATTCGAGACCTTGTACTTGCGAGGCAGGCGGCGGAACCACTGAGCTAAATCCCCGGCCCAACACGTTACGCTTTTCAACCGAGTACCTCAGGAGATTCAATGCCCGGAGTGCTTAGCTTCTGAATACCATTTTAAGGATAGCTAAAGACTGGTGTGGGGGAAAAAGCATCCTAGGAATTCTTCGTTATTCCCGGCTTTACAGTAGGACTTACACTTGCGAGTGTGTGCAGTGGATGATCTGCCCCATCCGCATCACAGAAATTTGCAGAATTCCTTATCTAGAAAAGTTCCCCAACATCTCAGAAAAATACGTTTTCATGCTGATCAGAACTTGGTTCTCTTTTTCTTCGACTGTAACACTTTCCCCCTCTGCCTTCAGCGCTGTGTAAGCCTGCTGCGCCCGCGTCCGCTCTGTCGCAGCTCCGGGAGAAAGGCCCTGCTTTAGGGGCCGGAATCTGCCCCTCCCGGACGGCCCACTCGGAGTCGGAGGCGCGGCCCCAGTGGGCGAGAAGCCGCAGGGGCCTGCGGACAGGCTGACTCCCGCCCTCCTGGAGACCGTAAATACCACCTCCGAAGTGTAACACAATTAATAACAAACATTTAAGATGTCCTCAATAATATCCGAAAATTCGATCCAATAGTAAATCCCTCTAAAAAAACCCATAAACTTGTAAGGAAGTAAACCAACCAGCGTCATTTCGTCTCCAAAGGGTCGCGCTGAAGACTCTTCAGCAGCTGCCCGGCTAGCTCAGTCGGTAGAGCATGGGACTCTTAATCCCAGGGTCGTGGGTTCGAGCCCCACGTTGGGCGGAAGCTCTGCTTTTTTTCGCTATAGCACTCAATGTTCTCCAAACTCTACGCTTTTCTAAAAATTTATAATGAAGAAATGTCTGTA